ATTAGTTAAAATAAATTTCAGCGTTGAAATTTTTGATTTATGTCAAGTCGTTGACGAGATATTCCACTTTTAATTTTAGGTTGGAGTTGAATAGTGGTGCATTATTAACACGCTGTGCGCCGAACCGCCACACAAATGACACTCCACTACTCTTCTCCAACCAAAACTTAAAAGCAGAATACTCGTCAACGAAAATCAAAAATGTCAACACTAAAATGTATTTTAACTAATACTCCATATATTTATGGACTTTCAAATATAGGTTGTCATTTGAAAATCATAAGTAGGTAGTGGTTTTACCCCCCCCCCCCAAAAAAAAAATGGGTGACAAAAATTATTATAATTATTATTTATAAGTATTTGAAATTGTCTATTTATTATTTTGGTTTCATGTGGATAAAATTATTTTAACATAAAATTAAAGAGAACAAAATTGAATAAGAAACGGGTTAAAAAACAAATAATAATAATAATAATTTAACAAAACCGTTCTTCCCCGGGACCGAAAATACGTGGTGTATAAAACGTAGACAGCACGTCGTAATACAAGGACAGCACCGGTTCGTTTTCCTAAAAACGCAAAAAATATTGAACTTTTTCTCGTCATTAAAATATGAATGTGAAAACAACAATACATGCAATGTAACTATAAAAATAATAAAGATAATCGAAAAAACATTAGTAAAATATGTAAATCGTGACCAGGACTGTGTGTATACAATGTGTATTATATATAATATATATTATGTTGTCAACAAATCCGTCATCTCATACTGCGCTTTAGAAAAATATATTATTAGATATCTGGTTTATAATATTATATAGTAATATGTAAATATAAATATGCATATATATTTATATTTGTATATATATAGCCTTTCTTCTAATTATTTTGTCAACGACGCATTTCCTTATTTTCCGTCCTTGTGGGTCGACAAAAAACATAAAAATAAAAAAATTCGTATCATTAAAGTACAATATCGATAATGTTGAAAACTATGATATTTTCATAAGATATAAGCACTATCTGTGAAAAAAAAAAAAATAAAACAAAAATACCTAAATAATAGATAACCTACCTCACTAATTTAATATTATAATATTATCACCGTTGAACATATCAAATAACGCGCGGGTATACGATAATTATTATTATTATAAAGATCAAATATTATAATATATTACTCGCGGACAACATAAACAAGAAATGACCGCTCGGTCGACCAGCGGTTAGACGCGATTAAAAAATGATATAGCGGGTGACGGCTCCCAGACCAGAATGGAATGGAGACCATAATCGTGCGTATTATGAACGGGAGAAATTAGTATTGGCTGCGAAAGGCCGGGGCGCTCTAGAAAAGCAAAAAAAAAAAAAAAGTTTACAGGCCACTGTTATAGGTAAAAAAAAATCGTGAATATGTATATAGAGAGGAATCTAATGTATATCTGTATGCGACATTGGTCTTCGCTAACGAAACGCGATTCCCAACGGAGTTCGGTTAAACGTGTTATGATGTTTTGAAATACCGTAATATTTACGATTGAAAACTAATACACATCGTAAATGGTCCCGTTTTTCCTGCGATTGTCTCCTGGTTTTACAGGTTTGTTATAAAAAAAAAAATAACCCCCCCGGGAAAATCAAAAAAAATTACCTCCCTAAAGTACCGCCCCAAACGTCATTGGTGTAAAACCAATACGTTCCCCGTTCCGCTCAGAATCTAAAACAACAATGTTATAACGAAATAATATGAACGGTGTTTGTCATTCGGGAACCGAGTCAGTTTTCGGTCGTTTCGATACGTGTACCATGCACGGAAATTTTACGACATTTATATCCGATAGTGACGCGTGGTCTATTACAACTGTCATAGTAAATACGGTTTTTGTCCGTGCCGCATGTTGGTGTCGAGTCGCTGCTATTTGCAGCAACTGTTACTGTTGGCTCCGAACTTATATTTTAGGTGTGGCTGCCACACCTAATTCAAGGGGTCGGTATACCCACCTTGCATCGGCGGTTTAGCATAAAACATTGTACATTTTACGAATAAACAGAAGGGGCGGTGTACATAATATTACAAACGACGCGAACCGGACTTCCATTCCCAGACTGCCGTAACGTGGCAAAAGTCCGCATTGGCAAAAGCAGATGACTATTAATATAACTACTTAGCTAACAGTTTTACGATAAATAACCGTTAGTACCTGAACAATTTCTAAATCTAAAACGGCGGCTACAGCTAGTTCACGTCCGTTATTCGGACGATTTTCGTGAAAAGTGGATCGAATCGCGTGGCTGTATCTGTAGTGTCGAGTCAACAAAAAATACTAAACAATTCGTTTAAAAGTAATTCTTTTTTTGCGTGCGTAACCGTAAAATGTATCGGAGTTTCAAAAAAAAAAAATATTACAAATATCCTAAATTGTTTTTCGTAATTGCACACGTGCGCTTATTTTTGTGGGTGTTATTCATCTGCGTGTATTATATCTTTGGTCGGAGTAATGAAGAGGGCTTTAGTTAATTTTCAAAATATTTTTCCGTATATATTTGTGTCTTGTGTAATTTTATTGTTTTCCCCGTTTATTTTTTCGGTCTGAATCGCACGTACGCGAATGCATACGTTCCAACGCGTATGTTTTACTGAAAATTAAAATGTTCGAAATCGCTCACTACAGGGAATTGTACTTTTTGTTTTTGGCGAAAAAGCCGCGTGCCGTCGTAAAATTATTAGACGGACGACTTTTGCGTCATTAACATGCGTGCGCATGTCGGGTCGGACCGAAAATTATGCCGTTTAGCGATTTTTAATGTTCAATTCGCTCGTAATGGAAAACCGTACAAAGTAATACTGATGCCCTTCGTAATAACAATAATAACAGTAATAATATTCCAATTTAAAAAATGTAATAACGGCAGCGTAGTGTGTTTTGAACGCAATCAATGATGATAATTAGGTATAATAATAATAATATTAGATACGACAAAGAAATTATATTGCCGTCGGGTCGCGGGGTGTGGGAGAAAGAGTGGGAGGGGGGGGGCGGCGAACGAGCGCTCTGGCGTGTCCGATCGACAACACATAGGTGGTGATCGTTTGCACGAAACGATTAAAAAACAAACAAAAAAATTAAATCATTCCGTACACACGAATACGATAAGGTTGTATTGTTTACGACACAGATTTAATTGTTTGTGCGTACGCATAAGTAATAACCGTCGGGTCATAATGTTACTATTAACACGTTGACGGACACTTGTACTACATAATTTGTACTGTTCGATTAGTAGTGCTGTGCCCGCATCCAAAATGTATGCGATTCGTCAGTGTGGACTGCCGTAATGTGACCGTCCACTGTCCCCTATGATCCGATGCCGTTTGAAAAAAATCACCGCTTCCCCGGTGTCGACCACATACGGCGGTTCACATTATAACTGCTGCGGCAGTGAATGTCCATCAACGTGTTAAACTGCACCGGTGGTGCAGTCGTGCGGTTATTGTTGCGCCGCCGTCGGTTGAAAACAAAGCGATCAAACGTTGTAATGCCCGGATCGCCCGTTCGCGGGGCGCCTACACCCGGTTTCTGCGCGCCGTGCTCTCGGACAGCTTTTTTTTTTCTTTTTCTTTTTTAACCGCCGCGACGTATACTGTTGTATCATTGCCCGTCCATACCACGCACGCCGTTAAAACCGCACAAATAACCGTACAGTTTCACCCGGGGGGAGAGGGTGGGGGGGGGGGTCCCGGCGGTTGTTNGGGGGGGGGGGGGGGGGGGGGGGGGGGTGTCCCGGCGGTTGTTGGTGAACAGTCGACACGGCGGGGTACAGAGGCGAATTTAATTCGTGCCTGCGCGCGACGATCGCTAACGAAAAACCGTTCGGGCCCACGCGGCGGGGGTGTAAGCTACAAGGATAGATGCCTATGAAATGTACCCGGCGCAAGACACGGGCGATATTGTATTACATTGTGCGCTCTCGGATGAAATCGACGGACACCCCACTGAACGCGGCATAACGATAAGAATATTGTTTTGAAACAAATATCTTTGGGAAAAAAAAAAAAAAAGGAAAAATAGTTGATAGTTGTAAACAACGACAGACCATTCCCGACGGAAAACGATTCGGAGCGAATTTGGGTTATAGCGCGTTTTGAAAGGCGGTAATACGATTTTCGTCGAAATTTCGTCAACTTTTTCTGATACCCGGTCTAACAGCAGTTTGTGTCCGCATAGTCCTGCCGAATGAAAATCACGCGAAAAACTCACAAAACGACCAAATGTCTACGAATACCTAAAATGTGTATCTCAAATAAACGAACCCGATAAAATCCACGTTCGCCACCCAGTGCACACCGCGGTAAAACCGATAGATATCCCTCGCTACACACTCCGGGACCAAAACAACTGTGCTCAACGGCAATAACGCACGGATCGGCCGAATATTTTTGTTCTCCGACGACGGGGCCGGAGGGACCGAGCCCCCGTTCTCTTTTATTCGCGGTCCCCGCCGGTGCGCCGTGGGGGGCACCGGTCGGTGGTGCGCGCGCGCGCGCGACAACCGTCGAAACGCACACACGAAACCGCGCCGTCCAACCGAACGGTTTCGAATGGAACGTTCGGTTTGTTTTCGTTTGTTTTTTTCACGCGTACGTACGGCGGGGAGGCGGGTAGCGGGAGAGGGAGAGGGGAGGAGGTTCGGAAACGAACGATAACGGATTCGAGAGAATCGAAACGAAACGGTTGTCGCTGGCGGTAATCGGGTACCATTATCAATTATCGTAATAACAAACGGCGTTTGGTCAGGTTTGCGTGCGTGCGCGTAGCACCTTAAATGCACACACTCGCGCACGCACAAAGGAAATGATATTATAATATTATAATAATTACTGGGACGACGGGGAGATCAAAGTTCGCCTGACGCGGGCGATTAGATAAAAATAATATATAAATATATATACACACGTATTGTGTACATTACATTTGTGTAATACGCTATTATACAGAATTGATATTTTCCTCCGTGGCCCGAGTCCGCGCGCGCGATAAACGCCCGTGAATTCGTTCGGTTATAAAAAGGAACCGCGACCGCGGATCGCGGTACAGTGGTACAGTAAACGCCGCAGCGTGCCAGCGCCACGTCCGTTCGCCGTAACATCCGTCCGTATACCGCGACGCACGACGGCCGACCGCGAGAGAGCCGCCCGTCCGCCGGAGAAAAGAGCACGCGTGGGACAGACGTGAAATATCGGCGATTACCGTTGACAGCAGCGGCGAAACCATGACGATGATGTACAACAGTCAGAACGACAACGGCGGCGGTCTGACCGCGCCGTCGGCGCCGCCTCCGCCGTCGTCCGAATTCTACCGCGGCAAGACCCCCGGCAAAAACGCGGCCCGCGCGCCGGCCTCTCAGCCGACCGCCGCCGTGCTCGCGTTCACCGTTCTGCTGTGCGTGTTCAGCTGTTCGCTGACGGTCGCCCTGTCGTACAAGTGGTACGCGGACGTCGGCCGGCAGATCAACGTGTTGCTGGGCGCCGTCGAGGACGTGACGTGCGAGGTGAACAAGTTTGCGGCCATCATCAGGGACGAGCTGGTGGCCAAGCGGTTGCGGAACGGCGACGGCCGCGGCGGCGGCACCACCACCGCCAAGACGAGCAACGTCGAGTACGACGACGCGGACGACGACTACCCGGACGAGCGGTTCATGGGCAGGGATCTGTCCGACAACAATTGGCCGTCGAAGACGTACCGCGGCCGGCCGTCGGCGGTCGACCGCAGTGTCGACGAAGAGTCGCGGGAGGCCGCCGAGGACCGTCGCCGGCGCAACGCCGAAGTGGACGCCAGACGCGCGCCCGTCAAAAACCAACTGAACGGGTAAAACAACGCGGCTGTTTAAACGCCGTAACTAAAAGATAAATTAATAATAATAATAACGATTTGCCGCAGACGCGAACGCTAGACGTGTCCGTGCTCAAAACGATTTGTCGTTTCGGTTTTAGATCAAACTACGATAAATCCAACGTAGAACTGCTGCAAGACGACGCGAACGAAGAGAACACGGTGAAAACGTACAGCAGACGCAGGCCGAAGAAAATGCAGTCGAGGAAAAAGCCGGCCGAAGACAGCAGCGTGTCGTACGAGTCGCTCAGGGAACCGCAAACCGCCGTCGCCGCGCACTTCGTTAGCGACAAGTCGAAATACAGTACGATTACGCATCCGCATTACGACGGTAACGATTTGTTGTTATCAATACTTCGAGAGGACGGTTTACTCGCATGACGTACCGGCTCGGTCCGACTAACGGGGGCGATATAGCAAAATCTACCTGACGCAGACTGCGTGGTACTCGCTTAAATTTCGGTTTTGGAGTTCGGACGCCGGTCGTAAAACTAAAAGAGGCCCCTATGATTCCGAGCAGGACGAGTTCGTTTTTAGATTCTGAGCGTAGCGGGGGTCCTATTGGTTTTACTATGACGCGTTTTTTTTTTTTACTTCTGTCTGTAAACGACTTTTTGAAAAGACATCTTGTTCCGGTGTGTAGTGTATAGTATCTTAACTGGAAAAAAATGTCGTCTAGTCGCTGCGTTATAGAAATCGTTTTTTCGGTATTCCTCGGGGTTTTCGAAATAATCGGGAAAAATCAAACAAGATGAAAAATACGATTTTTTTTCAATTTACCGTGACGCGATTTCATTATTTTTAATTTTTACGGGCTATGTTTTCTACCATACGTGTTATTCGAACAGAAAAACGACGAGAGGTCATTTTTATTGCATCTATAATCTAGTTGGTTAGACCAAGGAAGTCGATTTTCGATTTTCTTTGTATTTTTTAATAATGAAAAATTCGTAGAAAGTATGAGAAAATGTACGAAAATAAATCTTTTGTTTTTATGTTGTAGTTCAGTTAAAAATTTGCATAGACGTTCATATGGTTTTTTAAATTCATTTTTTTTTTTTTATTTCTTAATGTATTGGAATCATCGAATAATGTAACGTATTATAGAATACTACAATAAACGTACCGTTTTGCACTCCGAAATATTGTGCTCTTCTAAATTTATAATAGGTGTTTTTACTCAATAATCAAAATCGAACGATTTCTACGCAGTCTGTATTGACATTTTGTTATATTACCCGTTGGATTGAGACAGCACATGCGGATATGACGTCCTCTTAAGGATACTACTACTACTAGTACTTTGCAGTGTTAGAATGTCTTTAAAAGACCCCGTCAGTAATTTATGTAAAAACCCCACCCCCCGAAAGTCAGGTTTTGGTCGAAGTTAATGAACAATGGGATCAAAATACAAAAGTCGGACATACTTCGCACAACGGGCAGGCCGCAAGTTAGGAAAGTAAGATATAGAGAGGAATTTAATTTATATTTTTACCCAACGATAAATCCATTGCTAACGAAAAACGAGCGAAGTACGATTTTGGAAAATCTACGGTTTTCGTCAAATATTTTGATATTGAAATTCGTATGAAAAAAAAAAAAAATACTGGGTACATTAAACTCATTTTATTTTTTTTAACTAAGTACCACTTATAATATTTAACTTTCTATTAAATTTGAATACTTTTCTGTTTTGTATAACAATTTTATCCGAATAGAGCACCTACCGAATATAAATTACGTAAAAAACTCGCTAAATTAAAATGTTTACAGAATATAGCTCTGTTTATACTAAAAAAATTTTTGTAATGTTAATAGGTTGTAGCGAAATAAAAAAGTATTTTTCTAAACTAATATTTTTGCTTTTAAACTCTTAACTACTGAAACAAAAAACCTGTATAAAATATCAGGTCCGTCAATGATAAAAAGAAAAAGAAAATTTTGTATGGGTTTTAAAATTTTCCAGGGAGACACATGTCCCACTATAACTATAGACCCACTATGACTATAGGGTGCCCATGAATATAAGTAATTCTATAAATAAATCGGTCAAGTATATTGCACCTGCAAGTTTTCAGTAGCAATAGGTAATACGTTTTTGATAAACTTACGAAGGTTAAACGCAATAATCTTTAAGGGTCTCGGGAATCGGATACGTGTACTATATAATCCTTGTTCTCCAGAAATCATAATTGATTATCACACAGTTTAAAATGTATGTATAGGAAACGGCCGTCTCAGACATCCGGACGGCGAATTTAAAGATTGGACGCAATATATTTGGGACAACGGGGAAGATAACGGCGCGAATCATTTCCAAATAAAAAACGGCAAAGTCGACATATCGAAACCCGGATTTTATTATGTTTACGCTCAAGTAAGTAAAAATATCGACCTAAAATATCGTCAACTTAGAGCCCGAAGGAACGTGTCAACCAAATGCAACTTTTTAAGAAAAGGCGAAAAACCTTCTTTCTTTCTTTTTTTTTAAACTGTGTATGCATTTCTTTTAAATAAGTTATTTAAGCCCCTCCCCCTCCCGTTTTTGGTTGATAATTACGTTTCTCTGATTCTAATCTGATGATAAATATTATTACGTATTTTCGAATCGTTCGACTTGTCGGATGATTTGAAAAACTAAGGCTGTAATAATGCTTTCCATCTTTGAACAACTTGGTATTATAAAAATAAAAAATATTTCCATTTATTTTCAATTTAAATCATCGGCTTATCCGATTTTATCGAACTAATTTAGAACGCCGTCGTACAGTGGTTCAAAATTGAAAAAGAAGGTGGCCAAAAATGATTTTTGAACATTTCAAAAAATTACAAACTATAGTATAAAAATACTTTCTATGCGACTTATACTTACTTACTTACTCTTAAGTCTAAATCTAAGTACACTTAGACTTTAGACGACTCATAGTATAAGTAAGATAGTGCCTACCTAGGTTTTAAGTCCATAAGTGAATAAATGACACAGAACGCGTGCCATTTCGTACAATCTCGTTCACAATTTTGATTGCACTTTATTGCAATTTAATTACTCCTTATTCAATAATGGACAAATATGGACAGCCAATCTAATCATTTATTGACTCTATACACCTTATAGATATTGGAAACATATATATATATATATATATATATTGGCGTGAAGGTCGTTGAAAGAACTGTTTAAAATCGCACGTTTTTAACATATAACTGAAACTATAACGAGTATTAATTTTTTATGACTACAATTGTTAATATTTAATTTTGCAAATATAATAATATGCATATATTTCTATAATAATGATGATAAATACTCTAATAGTATCTATACTGATAAATAAAAAGAAAACCTATTGTATTTGCATAGTATTTTATAGCGTACAAAGCTTAAAGTTTAACCGAAATTGCAAACATTTTAAAGGCAAAAATAAATCAAAATATAACATAAACATAAATATGATAAGTAAATAGTTACGTTTTTTGATTTAGTTAGGCGTTTTCGAATACCTAAATAGGTATAGAAATTATTTTTGTTCAATAGTTTGCAATTTTTTGAAATTTGAAACCATCACTTTTGACCACCTTTTTTTCAATTTTGAATCACTGTGCGTCGTGCAAAGTTGAACAAATCATTTTAAAACATTATTTCGAATACTATGTATGATTGCATGATTTTTTAATACTTCATAAAATTAACGAAAATGTATTTTTGACATATTTTATAGAAAAAATTAAAGTTTTATTTATGGAGCAAAAGTGTACTATTCGACCATTCATAAAATTTTAATTTTTCTCTTATCGATAATATAAGGTACACAATAGTTTTAATTTCCATAGTAAGTGCACATATTATGGTAAACATATAGTCGTATTCATTGTTATTTCGCGGTCATAATTGAAAACCGATGAGTTTTAATTTTAAGAGGACGCAGTCACATTCAAATTATTTTGTCATGTCCTCTCGTGGGAGGGTAAGACAGATTATTCAACAATTACTATTATAAATATTGAAAACGAATGATACACCCGATCTGACTTCTATTATTTTCTCAGTCAAACTAACGGTGAACACAGCAAAAATACATTACTTAGAATTTAAAATGTAAAACGTTTAAAAAAAAAAAGAAATTAAGGATTAAACACAGATACAAGAGGAAAAAGAATATTGTCGAGGGCATCTCATGTGATTTTTTTTTTTCTAATATATTTCTAATATATTTTTTCTAATATTATTTATTCCAATGTATTTAAACAAGAAATTCACAGCCATATCGATGTTTACTTTTATTTTTATTAAACAATACAAAATCACGAAATGTCCTCGAAAATATTAATCTCTTTAAATTTTGTTATTCGTATTTAAACTCTACTTTCAACAGAAGTGGCACAATTTAAATTCTGAATAATTTTACTCCGTCTATTTATGGACTATTTAATATAGGTTATCATTTTAAAATCAAAAGTAGGTAATGGTTTTACCCCCAACAATATGGGTAACAAAAAAATAACATAAATATAAAATTTTAAAGCAACTTATTTCTAAAATTTTCTAGAAAACAAATTCTAGAAAAAGTTAATACTTTCCGAGATAATGAGTGTACCCACTTAATTGACTCACCTGGTATATTAAGTAGTTAGATACCTAAATAAAATATTATTTTATTCACTGTTTGATAAGCATTATTCTTATTTTTTTTTTTCTGGAGCGATCTTTAGCCTTACGTTCAATATTTTTCCCTATAAGCTACGATTTATATTTTAACCTACTTTGTTTTTTCTCAATGAATACATCGTCATATTCAAAACGTATCTGGCAGTTACCCGACTACTAATATCAGTGGCACGAAGTATTTTTACCTTGTATCACCAATTTAATTTTCCACCCATTCTTGCCAAAAAAAAAACCCGAAATCTACAAACCAGAGATAAAAACCAAGTTTTCTTGGCGGTATTTAATGAAATTTATCAAATTTCCGCAATTTTCCGCATGACTTTTATTTTGTAAAAACATAATAACTTTTGTTGTATTTTTAAACACCCTTACACTCGTTTTTTTTGTAAATCTACGTTTGATTCAAATAAGTCTACCTCCCTTGCGCCACCACTGACTCATATAATAAGATTTTTCATGTAGATAGTAATACTGGATGAGCAGCACTAGCCAATAGTTCTTAAAAAGTTAAAAATTATAACTTTTGCAAAAAAACTGTAAATTCTTTTATTATTTGGTCCAAATCAATTTCAGTTATTCAAATAACTTATTTAGAAAAACTGTCTTAGAGATGTAAATCATTATTTTTGTTTAAAGAATTCTACCCGATCAGGAGATAAAAGGGTTAGGTATTTTAAAATTTCTCGACCAATAGTGAATCTATACCTACTCTGAATTGAGGTGTTTACTTCATTTAAGATTTCAAAATATCTGTTGCATTTGTAATGGTCAAAAGTTAAATATATTATCTCGACTGTGATTTCTTCTTAAAAAAATTTTGTTTTTTTTTTTTTTTTGATACTCGTTTCTGATTTTTTTCAAATATTTATCCGGTAAATTATATTTATTAGCAAAATTTCTTGCTCCATTTACTATCGTTTCATACTTACTATCACTTCGTAATGCGATTAATTTTTTTTTACAAACATCTATTAAGTGCAGAATTTCAAAAAAAAAAATCAAATGATTTCGATTGCAAGTAATTTGATAATGGTGTAACAAATAATACATTTTTCAAAAAAACGATGACGACGATAACATTATTATAACAATATATAGGGTTGCCATACGTCCTAGAAAACCAGAACTGTCGCCGGTTTTTGACTTGGTGTATCGGTATCACGAAAATGAATACCGGAACGACTGTACGTCTCGATTTTAAGTAAATTTTAATATTTTTTAATTTCAAAAATGTTTTCGAACAATAATTCTAATCAAGAGTTAAAATTGTATTGTTAACGAATTCGGGATTAAGCGATAATTCCAAATCCTTATATTGTATTTAAATACCTACTTATTACATTCCGCATAATAATAATCTTTTTTATATTATTAATAATAAAAATGTATTTATTTTATAATACATTTATAATATATTAAACAATAAATGCAATTATTATTGTATTCATAAGAGTGCACACGGGGAAAAGAGGGTAAGTCGTGGCCCCTTATGCGGCTCGTGGCATTTTTTATTATACATTATTCCAATAAATAAACTAAAAATTACCAAATTAAAAATATATTAGCGGTTAAATGGTTTATTTTTATCAGGCCTTACACACTTCATGTCCATAGTCTAATATCTTTAGTGTTAATGGGTTGTCAATAGTTTTATTATAAACCATAAATGCAGTGAAATAAAATTATTAGTTCCAATTGAAGAAATCGCAGATACTATCAAACAATCAAACGTCGAGCTTAAGAATTGGGATTTCTCCATCAGATGAAAACGTTTGAATTCAATTTTTTCGTGTTAATATTCAATCCTATTTTTTATACATTATTAGAATCAAACGCTTTCCTAAAGAAATAAGATATAAACTTATTAACTGCGATAGAAGTCAAGTCATTAAAAAAATTAATTCCTTGTTTCTATGAGAAAATATTCCAGAGTTTTGCTTAGGTATTTATCCAAAAACCTTTGAAATATATCAAAATTATAATTGTTTTTCTGTCATTAAAAAAAAAAGTGTCTACCAAAATTGACTGTTCAAATACACTTTATACTTTATGTCTTAAAAATAAGAAGGAATGAAAATGTCTGTATATGATTGATAGAATTAACATTAAATTCAATCAAGTAAGAATAAATATAATTCAAAGTATTAAAAATGTATTAGTTTTAAATATATAAACAGTACCTAATGATATCTCAGAATTATCTACAGCAGTTTATTTAAATTCTGTTGAAAGCACGAAATAATTTTTGGATTCTGAGTGGAGCAAAGAAGTTTATAGTTTTACAAAGATGTCTATTATTTTAATTTTTTTTTTTGTTCTGTGAACAACTTTTCTTCCAGAGATATTGCTGCGATTTTTATTTATGCACCTTTTCTGAAAAGAAATCAATGTAAAAAAGTACTTTAGGGAGATCATTTTTCGATTTTCCCAAAAGTTTTCCCTGCAAATGTGAAAAACCAGGATAAAATGTGGGAAAACCGTGAAAAACGTAGGAAAACTACGTCGAATTTTTTAATGGCCGACTTTGTGCCGTTACAGTATTACATGTTTCTTATTAAGATATCTAAAAAAAAAAATTATATAATAATAGGTAGCTACGTTAAGTAATTTTCAAGAATTTTGATAAGATACGAACAGACAACGAGGTCGGAGCTCATAAGTTCAAACATTCTAAAGGTACATCCTCGACAAAAATTATATTTATACCTATATATTATAGGTAGCCATGTAGGTACCTAACAATATTTTAAACAAGTTACTTATTTTTATATAAGTATATAAGTATATTTAAATCCTATTATTTTCTATCAAAATATAAAATCTGAGCATAAAAATGGTTTTGAAGAGAATTGAGAGTATAACCTGTCAAAAGACACATCTTTGATACTTTTACCATGCATAGCCTACCTATAGAAATTCTTATTCAATATGGCTTCATTTGGAGGTCTGTAAGGGTGTTTAAATCTGAAATAACTGTCCTAGGATAATAGGGACAAATGCAGCCACTTTTATAGGTAATTTAATATACCTAAATCTGTAAGCAACGATTAACCATTGCTAACGAAAAAACGTTTCTGAGAGGAGTTTGGTTGATAATGTTGCTTTGTTAACAATATAAATGTCATATTATGGTAAAATAATTACATATGTATAATATATTTTCTTTAATAATATTTGTTTAATATTGTACCTATTTTCCCCTTTATTCCATTTATTGGGAAAACTCGTGGGAAAATCAAAAAATAACCTCCTAAAGTACCTCCCCAGTCAGATTTTCTTTCAAAAAAAGTGCTATCATTATAAATCGGAACAAAATTGTGAAAAAGTCGTTCACATGAAAATAAAAATCATTGTAAAACCAATACATTCCTCGCTCTGCTCAGAATTTAAAATACATATTTCTCATGGAACAACATGGTAACATTGAAATTGGAAAGGTCTTTTAGACTTTAGTTCATTAAGTCGCTAAAAGTATCAAATTGTACCAGAAAAAAAATATAATATACATAATATTATACGGAAATAATAGACACAATACAGTACAATAGTTACTATTTTTGTGGGAATTACAACAACAATCATTCCCCATTCATTAAAACAATACCTATATCTCAGATAATTGCACAATAGGTATTTTTTGAACATCAAACATATCTAAGTATTTATTATTAATATTGTATTGAAATAATTTAGATAATCTGTAATCATGGCCGTTTTAATAATTTGATATAATTTTGTTTTATAATAGGTGTACTATACAGATCAACACGACATCAATGGGTTCTATGTTATGAAAAATAATGAGAAGATATTCAGTTGTACTACAACACGATATCAAGCCAATCAGTCGGATTCATGTTACACGGGAGGCCTTATTTATTTTAATTCTAAAGATATTCTATCGATAAAAGGATTGTTTAGTGAAAGATACATATATTTAGATCCAGTGTCAAGTTTTTTCGGTTTATTTCTTGTATCTTCTAAAGATAGCAAAAGATAGGCAACTAATTATTTTTACACTGGACAACATAATATAATATTATTTTATTTTAAAACACAGAATTTTTAAAAATATATTTATAAATATATTAGGTATTATTGTAAATTAAAAATGTAATATAAAATATATAATTTGGCCTTTAGTCAAATAAAAATAGTATTAGACTGATTATCTAATGTTGTATTATAATTCATTAATAAAATATATAATTATACTCTTACAAAAATTATTACTTCTATTTATCTGATATGTATTTGTCGTATACTTAAGCTTATTTTATTATTTGAACACATATAAAAATAATGAACTATTATACATTATTGATTTAACAAAACATACTTAATACTTTAGAATTTATTGGACGGATTAATATTGTTATAATTAAATAATTAATATACTACCTATATAAATAATAATAAAAAAAAAATGTGTATATTAAATAAATTATTTTTAACTATTCTAATGGGTTCCTTTACCTAAATCTAATCAAATCACAAATGACGTATATAAATATAATATCCCTTAAAATTATTCTAATCTAATTAAACAAAAAAAAAAATGGTACATATGTGTATATAGATCAGATCAACAATAAATGTATGTAAAAAATACATTAAGAAATGTATAAAAAAAGATCACAAGTTACACTTAGATTACACTAAGAGTTTAAAACATTATTTAGGGCTTTGGGCAATAATATTATATAGTTAACATGATTAAAATTTGTGATGTATTAAACAACAGATCATTGAAGTTTAATTTGTTAAATATATATACTAAGTATTTAAAATAATAATTTTTATATTATAGACTAAGTAAACTTTGAATAAATGTTCAATTTAATTTAGAATATTTTGGTAATGTAAATGTTTAAAGTAAAAGCCATTTAAATAATAGCAAAAAAGATATTCCTATTAGATATCCAAACGACTTGACTAGTGTTGAACCATTGCAGCCATCAGAATTGCAAGTATAAACGCACGTTCTATAATTTTTTGTATCACCTGGCTGTCGAACATAGTTACAGTAATTCCCCAAATCATGGGAAGAACAATAACGTTTAGTTCCAAGTCCTCCTGTTAGAAGAAAAATCATTAAAACCTATTTTCAAGTAATATAATAATACATACCTTCATAACGGCCTACTAATTTAATACAATAAGCAGCATTGTAAACATCTGTACAAGGTCGTGCAGATAATCCGAAGTCTTGCGTATCCATAAATTCTGAACATAGAAATTGATTTTCAATATCTGTACTGTTGCATTGGTAACACGATATACTTACAACTAAACAAAAAAAATTATTTATTGCGTTTTGAAGTTTTCAACCACACCTTAAAATAATTTTATTATAATATTTACCAGATCTAATTGTTGAAATACAAGTTAAAGCTAATAATAAATAAAAATTTGTAATATTGTTCATTTTTATAAAAATATTAAAAAAAATGAATAAATAATATAGGTATTAAACGAGGAGTAGTTTTACTGGTTGAAAGTCTGTTATGAACTATTGTCTGTTGTAAATAGGTACGACAACCTACAGTAGGTATGTTTTGTAAATAATAAAACAATTGATAGAAAAACAATACACTGGAATGCTGGATGATAATAGATCATGGAAAAGACGATAAAATCCACTGAAGAAAATATCAGCTGTTTAATATTAATACTAAGATTAACAAATATAATATACCTAGTTATTTATTTACATTTTTTCATTTATTGTTTGTTATCGATCGGATATCATAATTTTATAAGAATTAAATTTTATTATAGGTACCTACCGAGTATTATGAAAAAGTTTTGTGTGTATTTCTACACAAAGCTGCGTTAAAATTTATGTTTCGGTTATAATGCATAGCCAGAACCATTTTGATTGCTACAATTTTATACCACAGCTGTTGTGTAAGTTTTAATAAAATAGGTCAACCTCGATATATGCCACATCAAACTTTCTACAAAAAAATAACTACTAGAGTTATTTAAGATGAACGTTACCTCAGACTTTTTACCCGAAGTACGACCTGGTGTGTTCACCTATGAATCATACACGATATTAAGTGATTTTGAATCTGGCAATCTCGCTCGAGCGAAGTATGTGCTCAAACAAACACCTGGCATTGGTACGACGATTATAAAGTTGAAATTTATATTGTGAGTAAGTTTGCTAAGAATATGTATAATATATTGTAGATGATGATTTGGAATTTCATTTATGGACCCGACCGGATTGTAGTGGCACAGAATTTGAATGTAGTTCCAGGTCATGGTTTTATTTTGCCTTGCAAGGTACAAGCACATTAAAATTGAATTATATTCAAGTTCGTATTATTTAATTGAACCACTGTGTTAAAGGTGGTGTTCCTGGTAATGCTGTAAGGTTAAATTTAGTGTGTCTAAATAAACAAAGTAAAATGTATAGTCAGGGCATGGCACCCGTTTTTAAAATAGATTCAGGAACATCTGAAAAATCAAATACAACCTTTTGTAAGGCAGCCTGGTCAAGAATAAAAGAAATACCAACTTATCAGGTATTATTAATGAAATAAATATTTATTCATGCATATAGATACCTAATAGCTATATTCATTATTACATTTGTAACTAAACTTTCAAGACTGAGAATCAAACTAATAAGTTTTTATTTTCAAGCTAAACGAGACCCATGAATTTGTATTGAGTTTTAGTCACCGTTCTTTGAAAAACAAGGAAGCTATAACATATTATGCTTTTACTTACCCTTACACGTACACTGATTTGTGTAACAGTTTAAGTTTCTATGAAAAACAATTTCCATTGCCATCAGATATAAAAGGTACATAATTCCTTTTAACAATTTTTACAATTATTATGTATTTTAACCATAATAATATTTTGTTAAATATACAATTTAGAAAAAAATGAAACCGATATATATTTTTATCGAGAAACTATTGTAAAATCCTTAGAAAATCGTGCTGTCGATTTATTAACTATTAGTTCCTTTAAAGGCATTTCAGAAGAAAGAGAATGTCGTTTATTTGGATTGTTTCCAGATGAAAATAAACCCAGGTCGCATATTTTCAGAAATAAAAAGGTATACAAGTGATTTTGAAATAACTGATAACTGTTTATTAGTTAATTGATCATAAATATAGGTAACGAGTTTAATCATTTGTATAATATTTATTTTAAAAATCCAAACAAATAGGTCATAATAATGAGTGCTAGAGTACATCCAGGTGAAACACCTTCTAGTTTTGTTATGAATGGTTTAATAAAATACTTACTTAGTAAAGATGAACATGCTAATATTCTCCGTCAAAATTTTATTTTTAAATTAATTCCAATGCTAAATCCAGATGGAGTAGCTAAAGGATTTTATCGTACAGACACTAGAGGTTGTAATCTCAACAGATATTATCTTAAGCCATCATTAAAATTGCATCCATCCATTTATGCTTCCAGGTTCTCTGTCGACTTATCTACTTTTTACATTAAAAATTGAATTTGATAAATTAAAAATGTTAATTGTTTTATAGATCAATAATCTTGTATCATCACTTTGGATATGAATTACGAGAAGATTTGATTGAGGAAAATTCAAATATATTGGATGCTTCTATTTCTACATCAACTTTATGTAATCCATCTGATAATGATGATGAATTAAATTCTAGACTAAGAGAAATGCTTGCTACAAATAGCATTGTATATGATAAGAAAACCAAAAAAAAAACAAAACGTATTGATAATCCAGTTCCACTGAATAACTTACTAAAGAAAAGTCAATCATGTACAGCAGATTTTTTTGCCAAAAAAGACATTGATTCAGGATTATATTTGTATGTTGATTTTCATGGTCACGCATCAAAAAAAGGTTACCGACTTTCAAAGTTGCTTAACATTTTTTTTTTTTAAGTACCATCTTGTATCTTGTACATTAAATATCAATTTTTTGTAATAGGGATATTTATGTATGGAAATCATTTTGAGAACATAACTGATAATATTGAGTGTATGATTTATCCCAAATTAATGTCCATAAATAATCAACATTTTCATTTTACTTCATGTAATTTCAGCGAACGTAATATGTATACTAAGTAAGAAATTGAGTTATACTTCAGTTATTATCATTAAGGAATTATTATGATTATCGTGTATAATAATATGTAATCTACATTTGAAAAATTAATTTAAATTAAGATTAAAACTAAAATTAAACATCATTACAAACTAAAAATTATTCTGAGGAGAGAATCATTCAATACAGTTCAATATATTTGAATCAATTTCAATTGAACATTGTTAATTTGAAAATAAATTACAATTTCTTGTTTTTAACACATTTTATCATAAGTATCAACTTAAAACATTTATACAAAATAAAACAACATTATATTATAGTACACCTCATGATAAACCCATCTAATTTTTAAACATTTATATGAACCCAAAAAAATGTTATTCATAAAAAACTTATCTTTAAAATGTTTTACTTATGTTTGAATATTATAATTACTACCTAATTTAAACTCTTAATGAAATTTTGCTATATTACACATTAGTTACTATGACAGTAAATGCAAGTGTGGTGTTCTTTTATACTTGTATATTGTTATTTTGTAAAAATTCAATAAAATGTATAGTGATTATATTTTACATTCTAATGAAAGAACAAACCAATGGTAATAAGTATTTATAACTTGGATTTACATTTTCAGAGATAAAAAATTTGGTCTTAGCAAAGAAGGAAGTGGGCGTGTAGCTGTTCTTAAATATACGGGTATAAGACGTAGTTATACATTAGAATGTAACTACAATACTGGCAGATTTGTTAATTTTGTTCCACCTACAGTTCACTTTGTATCTGAAAGACGGCCCATTCAAAATCCTGTTCCTCCAAAATTTACACCGACTATTTTTGAGCAGGTTGGCATTTTTAATATGCCTATAATCTATATTTTATATTATGGGTTTTTACTTTTGTGAAGGTTGGAAAATCATTGGCGATTTCTGTTTTGGATTTATCAAATTTAAATCCAAACAGTCGGTTAGAAAACAGTGAATTTAAATCATTAACAGGATTAAAAGAACTGTTACGTGCAAATATTATAAGTGAATCTAACCGTAGCCATTTAGGATCAAAATCAACGAATAACATTAATGTTGATACTCCAATGACATCAAAACAAGTACATTTTTTACTATACTTGTAAAATAATATTCTTTATTATAATATGCTCTTAGAAAAGCATCCATTCCAAGCTTTTTTTTTTAGTTTTTAAACTTGAAAAAGAGAACTTAATGACTCATTTAGGTTGAAAAGAAGTTTTCAACTATTTCCAACATTTGTGTATAAATAATTCAAAATATTCTATAAGTAAGAATAACAAAGTCTATAAAATGTTTTCATTGTGGCTCTGTTAGTGATTTATTTAAGAGTTAATTTAGTTTAAAAATATGTTGCTTAGCATTGTAGTAGCATTGTGTCTTATTCAAAGATCAATAAAAATTGCCATTCTATCATTTGAAACCATTGTATATTAATTATTATTATAATTTTTAATGCTAATCAAATGTTTGTTGTGTAAATTATAAATTATTTAATCTGCCGTTTAATACGAGATTGAATTTTGCCTGATAATTTAAACTATACAATTTTTTTAGATAAAAAAATCTTCAATAGCATATGATCTGATGAAGCCATCCACATCAAAATTATTGCAACCAATTATGACTATTGCGGTTGCACCAAAAAGCAAATCAGCTCCTCTTCGTAAAACTATTAAAAAACCATCAAGTGGAGGAATATTGAAAAAAATTCCCAAAAAACGCAAAATGACTACTAGCAAACAAAAAGCAGTTACAAGTTCTGCCGATAGTGCATTGAAACTATGGCATTTAGAAAAAAAACTTGATATGACTCCTTTGCGTAAATTAGGAACTGAACAGTGGCAAAAGAAAAAATAATTTCTTGTTTCTATTTAAAAATGTGTTAAACATTTTGTATAACTATTAACTAAATAATTTTAATAAATAACTACATTTTAGTTTATAGGTCTTTATATTCAATATTTTATATTAATTTTAAGTTCATATACCTACATCGTACATTTATCAAGGTTTGTATTTTATAAGGTGCTATAATGATCAATTAATACTATAATTTTTCCAATACTTCCTTAATTAAACCCATTTATGTTTAAACATTTCTAAAAGACTGTTTGTTTGTTTATATATTTATTTGTTTTTTTATTTATTTATTTGTTTATTTAACCTCGTTAATTCATTTATAGTTTTATATATCTATTGAAATAAAATAAATATTAGTCAGTTTACCTACATTATAAATGTATTATTTATTTAAAAATGCTAACCCATATTTCTTGTTTATTAATCTATTTTTTTATTTTTTTATCAATATTTTAGTTAATTATTATGAATAATAAAAAAAAATACCTATTAAAAATGAGGAAAATTCCATGTAACATAATATAACAGGATTAAATAAAATGTATCTGATTCAACATATTCTGAAACGGTTAACTGAAATGTTTTTACTATTATAAATAGTAACAATATACAATATAATTATTTCTTCCCATAAATATGTTTATATTTAAGTTATCTTTCAGCCAAATTAAAACAACTACGCCACAATAATATCACATAGAAATATTGTTGCAATATTATGATGACAACAAATCCATCATTGACCACTCCCCACAATAATATGAAAATAATTTTTGGGTCTGCTTAGGATGTAACTCGTAGGTGGGCAGATCGAATACTAAGTGAATAGGCTTTTTTTTTTATTTTATACAATTTTATATTTTTGTGATGGGACACTTACATGGTATAAAAGCGGAAATGGGCTGTTTTTTGTGAAAACTGAAATATTTTTGATACTTCTTAGTTATCCACCTACGGAACGTTTCAATTATTATACTGCCGATGTTTATTTGAAAATATTTTTACTATGTGAACATCACAACACCCAAGTCGGAAAAACACGCATTACATAAATAGATATCTGAAGTATAGTAATCAAATTAACACGTTTCTATAATAATGTTCATACATAATAGACTACTACTAATAGCGTTAATATTAGTAAAATATGTGTATAAGATCACCATTGTATGTTGCATACAAAATATACTAATAAATACATAGGTACCTATGTATTGAGGCTATTTTAGATTCTGCAGAACTCGGCGATAGTAATGCCTAATACATTCTTCGCTTTTACTACAATGTGGGCTATTGTTTTTTTGTGTGCGAACAACTTCTTTACCAGAAATCTTTCTACAATAAAAAAACAACAAAATAGACTTTTTTGTAGTATTTTGGATGTAGTTGGTGCGTTGAGATTAGTTTTTGATTATCTTTACAGTTTCCTTAATAATTGCGAGAGACTGAGAAAAAACATAGGTAGATACTTGCCTGTAAGAAAAATTATTATAATAAAATAGTAAAACAGATTTATTATTTCCGATTTGGTTTTTCTATAAGTACCCACCACCAGTAACGGCGTTTAGTGAGGGACCATTCCTTCAACACACTCCCCCCCCCCTCCCAGAGACATTTCGGTCTCATTATACTCTCATTAATCGTTTACATTTATTGATTTTATTTTATTTCAATTAAATTTCACATTTCGATGATGTCTCTTTTATGGGCTTGAGCGGATTAACAGTAAATAATACAATTTTTTTTATATAAGATATTTGCCATTCGGAAAGACCCCCCCTCCCTAAATCCGACATTATCTACAACAGTGGCACACCCGATACGATTTTTCTTTTTAACCGTACAGTTACAATACATAATACCAATAGATGTATCTATTCGTAACAATATTAAAACATTAAATTTTGTTTACGACATGTTTTACACTAAACACCCATCACATTGAGTGTTAATGTACGCGGTAATGGGGCCGTCGACGAGTGTATATAATTTATACCCGAATCGCCAACTGCAGAAAAGTGACAAGTCCGTTTTTATCAATTTTGATTTTATTATCATTTTTCATTAAGCACGCGTATATATATATATTTATACATCGTTTACTGCATAAAGAAATCAAATCAGACTATCCAAACGCTATATTTAGCGTTTGGAAATTTCAGTACACTACAGAAAGGGAACATGTCCATGGCGTGTCCCATTTCTGCAGTAAACAGCCTATATACATAATTAATTTATCTTATCTTAATTGTATTGAAATCGATATTAATGTACTGTAAACACACAACAACGTCTTGAACAAAATATCAAAAAGTTCACTATAGTTATATAATACATTCGTCGATATTATCCATAGTAATGTGTAATGCGAATCAGTATATCTTAGCCTTTACTACAGTTGAGTGTGGTGTGAACTGTGAAGTTATTTTATTTTTGAACGAAGGAATTCTGACCCTGATTCCGAGGCAGAAATTCTCGGAACTTTAAAAAGAAAAAAATGTGTAATAAACTTCAACAAATATAAACGTAATACTATTAGAAATGCGAAAGTGTCTCGGTGAATCTTATATAAATTACGCTGGGTACGAAATTCATGAAAAATTACCAGCGACAATATGCACGTATGCACACTAATTTTCATTACTAAATAATATAATTGTGTTCAAATAAAACTGACGGTCCCATAGATGTAAAAAACAATGTCTATCTGTGTTCGATGATGACGGAAAAAATAGCATGCTTGAAATGTTCAATCAAATGAAGGACAAGGACCAGCAAGGTATTTACATAGAACGTTTAATGGAACTGCACCCTGTACAGAGAAAACGAAGCAGGTTAGAAATAAGTGCTGAACAAGCCGAGCCTAAATCGGTTTCAATAAAATATTTCGTTACGTGTCAAACAAAAAAAAAACCATAATTGACTACAGAAAATGGTGGCCAACATATTACAAAAAACATGTTTGAGTAATGCCTCATACGGGAAAAATGTACCGAGAGCTAACAAATCATCATTTGCTTTATCATCATATCATCAACTCACTGTTTCATACTCCGATAAAAACGAAATTAAATGTCGAGAATTTATAAATGCGTTGGTTGAACATACGTTTCGTCTACAAAATTCTACAACGGGATTCTTATTTTCAATCGACAAAGCACACAACGGAAAATTGCCAATCAACGAAAAAAAGTTGGAAGATATCAAAAACACATTGAAATTTATCCCGGATTAGTATATTGGATTTTGGAAACCGATAAGTGAGTGGCCTTCAAAATGTGATCAATATGATTTACTTGACTAAAAATATAATGACAAAAATGTATTAAAATATCATCAATGTATCTAAATTGTAAGTTGTAGTTCCAAAAAATTGTAAAACGTAAAAAATAATTTTATATTTATATTCAATAATAACGTAAGTTATATTTGGTAAAAATAAATTGATGAATAAAAACAATATTTTGAATATTTTGATAATATTTCTCCCCCTACATCAATAAATAATATATGAAAACAATGTTTTCTGCAGAAAGAAGACACAACCATAACTTATACAACTTCCACCCTTTATAATCAGGTGTTCTCACTGTTTTCAGTATTATAGTGTTATATATTAGCTGTATATTATTATAGTTAGGCATAGACTTTTGAGTATATTTTTAGTTTTGACCATTTTGACCAATAATAATGGACACATATATATATATATATATATATAAGTAGAGGGTTAAGACAGCTATAGTTCACTTAAATTTTCCTACAGTAGGTACTTCTGAAAAATAACCGTACAGAAAACGGTTTTCTCGTTTGGTACCCCCTCATTTTTTTTTTTGTTTAGCAAAACCGTTCAAAATACATTTTTAGGCTTATTATTTTATATGCCCACCTACTTTGTCGATAAAAAAATGTTATGTTAGCGTATTTTTGTCCTTGGCTTCCCGCGCCTCCCCCGGATACCGAATCGGCTCGTAACCAACCATCGTATAATCGTAAAATTCCAATCTGCGTCTTGCAATAGATACGGCATGCCCACTACAATATTATACAGTGAATTGTACCTATTATAAAGTATACTTGCCTATATAGTAATAGAGATACAACTACCTAATAATAATAATATAATAATAATTTAATAGTACGTTGTAGTGTCATTGCGTGCATTATAATAATATGATTTTATCTTTAGGTACCTATATCTACTATTAAAAAAATAATAGGTGTATTACTATAGGTACTGACAATACAATCGTTAATAACAATTTTGTCGTTTTGGTCATCAAAATAATTTGAACGGTATAATTGTTGGGAAAACAATAACGGGCCAGTCATCGTTGCGTGTTTTTTTACAATAAACAGTAAGTATAATATTTTTTCAAAAACCGCGACTTTTACCTATGCGTGTTTTTTAAACAGACATTGTGTAAGTACCTACTTATAATTTATGTATTATGAATATTTTAAATAAACTGCTACTTAAATCATAATCAGACATAAATACATAATAATGTAATATTATGTATACCTATAGATACTTGTCCTACCTACATATCATTATATATATATATATTGTATATAATATATTTAAAGTAGAGCGCGGCACGCCATCTAGCTATAGGTTGGAGATGTTTTTAAACATGTAGGTTCACTTTTTATTTATTTTAACTACTTACCTATAATATGTTTTACAAACTGGAAACGCGATGGTTGATTCAATAAATTTACCTACGAAAAGTATATCATATTATATAAAAAAAAATATATATTTTTATTTTATGTAGTTTACTGTAAGGTATTACAATTTTCTCCATAAACAGGATAGGTAGGTATCATTTTCTGCCATTCATAGTCATTCGCAGACCTTGCTGGCAGGGGAGCAGAATATATTATACATTACCTAGATGTAATATAATTGAATAGGTATCATTTTCGTTATTAGTTCAATTAATATTAGTGATGAAAGTATTTTAATTTTATGTGTCACTAATTTAATGACAAATTTAATAAAATAATTGAAATTTCACACTTTTTAAAAGAAAAATTATATCCGCAAGAAGGATAACTGCCAACTCCTCCACACCCCCCCCCGTGCGAACGCCTATACTTCCATCACCACAATAAGAAATAATTGCAGTCACCGTTCTACAATAATTATTATTTATTTCATTATTTGTATACCTATGTATTAGGTACTTATTTAAACTTATAATTTTAACAATTCTGGTCGAAAATATTTTCGTAGACATTTTCATATTATTTTAAATTGAGACCGATTAATAATCGGTGTTAGTTTATAATACTGTATACATGTAAGTTTAAAAAATATATTACCGAAATCGATTTTAACTTTTAAAAACGACGTACCTATCTAAACCTAATATTTGTTTTACGATTCACCATTGATTTTATAATAGAAATTATAATATTAAATTTGCATTGTCGTTAAATAATCTTTCCCAATATTGTATAAAGTTGTGACATAAATACATAATTGTGATTATTCTTGTACGTCAAAATAACTATTTAATATAAATACAATAATAAAACAATAAGCATACAAATTAATAAATGTTAAAGTTTACGAGTTGCGTGGTTGATTGGGTAAAAATGCAATGCAATACAATACAATTTTAGTCTAAACAAATATTTGGAGGGAATTGAAAAAGTAATAAAGTACCTTCCTGTTTTTGAATAGTCTCGCGATAATTGTATTATTATATTTTATAAATGTTTTTTTGTTGTTATTAATCTTATACAAATTAAATTATGTAAATACCTATTTATATTATATAATACCGGAGTATTATTTCCATTATATTATAATAATGTGCCCATCGCCTATATATAGGTGTAAGTGACCATGTGATAAACAATGTGGTTTTAAAGACAATTCATTATTGTGGTATTTGCTACCATCAGTGACGCTTTACAAATTCGACCACAGTGAAAAACGATACAACCAAAGTAATTTAAACGCACACAGCTGTTAAGTCTTATATCTCAACCAGTTAGTATGCAGGTAAGTACCTATAACTATACATACAATAGCCAATATCGAATATAGCCTAAAATCTATAATAGTTAAGCGTACTAAGTAGGTAGGTAACTAAATGCCTACAACTGTTTCAAATAAGTCACAAAAAGGGACAATCATTAAAACCGATTCATAGTCCTAAATTAAATTCGAATTAACGATAAAAATGCTCACCATTCTCTTGCACCGTCCAGAAATTTTGGCAGTTTTTATCATTTGATTGTTTTTTTTTTTTTTTTTCAATTAAAACCTAAAGCATAATAATATTATACAAACATAATGATATTACGAGACCGTCAAGACGCTATAATTATTCAAAATAATTTTAATTAAATAATTAGATTTAACATTAAATGATTAAATAATATATTTCATTTATACATGATAGCTAAGATAAATAAAAAAAGACGATGGGGAGATCGAACCCCCGTGTAAACGTCCCTAAGCCCACCCACGGTGCAAAGTACCTATTATATGTTGGCTTTTTAAATACAATATGTTAAGAATCTAAATTTCTGTAGTATTTATAACCGCATATAGGCAATACATTTACCTGCTTTATACTTGGACTTAATCAATTTATAATGTGTTGTAAACTTATAAACGTTAATAACTTGTTAATGTACCTATAGATTGATATATCTATACATTTTTATTTATAGAAAGTTTTATCATCTTATTTTTCACTTTTTTATATTTTTAGTTACTGGTTGTTATTATGGGTATGACTGGTATTTGGGTGTAGCTATTATGAAAAAATGCATATACTTATTTACCAACGTCATAATATATAAATCTTGAATTCACAACGCTATCGAAATATAAAATCTCATTGTTGGTTCGTTGTGTGTATCGAATAATAAACAATATTCCAATAATATGTAATCATCTGTATAATAGTAGGTATAATACATACCTAATAGTGATTATAATGACAATAGTCGGCATCAAATGCGTCATTGTAAACCTACTTATAACACTTTGATGACGCCAATCTATATAGAGTAGCGCGCGTGTTAATTTTTCAAAATATTTTTTATTTCCAAGTTTACAACTATCATAGGATACCTATATTTGGCTCTATTGTTATGTTAAAAATAGATACCTGTAGGTATTTTAGGTACTTAACAGTATTCGTGTGGCAACGCTTGTATTTTTGATCAGATCATTTAAAAAGGTCCAAAACTAGAAATTTAAATGTCGATATCGGTATAATACATTGCAGATTATATCTATCTACAGGTATTACTTAAAATACGTTTTGGGTTGGTTTTCGTATAAACTCATCAAAGAAATTCGGCCTCTAAATGCGAATATTTAAAATTTGGCGATTCTTTTATAATGGAATATCAATCAGGGAAGAAGGCCAAGGAAGCTTCAGCTACGCCTCTATTGGCCGCGTCAAATACAAACAAATAGTATAAACTATTTAGCATTGAAAAATTATTACCTATTTTATTTTTATCACTAATAATCATTGAACATTTGCACTACTTATAGGTATATGAGTACAAATAATTTTACCTTCTATTCAATTATGTATTTTACAATTCTGACCCTTGGGTGCACGCTACTGTGATTATAACTTATTATAATGACACAATTATAACACATCGACACCCTTGACTCTTCACAGTATATTTCACTCCTGTCTAAATTCTAAAATATTTTAACCCATAAGGCTTTTATGTCATAAAAGGTGAATCCAATATCGTATTACAATTATTATTTGTTATCTATGCATATTAAAATGTGTAGACAATTTTATTTTTTTTTTTTGAAAATCTTTCTTTTGAAAAATCGTTTGAAAGTTAATAGGTAGGTACTGATTTAAAGAAGGAATAGAGTGTTAAAAATTTGAAAATAGTGATAAGACTAAATTTCTTAAGAGGACATCGCACCGACATTTACAGTTTCCATCATACAAACACGAGACAGCAAATTTGCGTTCAGTAGGACACATTTTGTGCCGTTAGTTTTAATATTAAAGCAAAATAACTTATTATTAAAACTAAAAGGTAAGACGATTGTACATGCCCTAGCGTTGATGTTTTTTCGACATTTTATTTTTCCAGCGAGATATAATCATTTTTAAACTGCAATATTTAATATACTCATATCTCATTTAAAAGTTTGGTAATAAATTAATTGGCTTTAATATTAAAACTAACGGCACAAAATGCGTCCTACAGAACGTCCTACTGAACGAAAATTTGCTATGTCTCGTATTTGTAAGACAGAGACTGTAGATGTCGGTGTGACGTCATCTTAAACAATTGAAATATTGAAATGCTGTAAATCCTGGATTGTAATAAAAGACTCGCTCTATATTTTACAAGTATATCTACTAAATATGAATAATAGATATTTCAATTTTTTTCTTGTGGTTTTAAACTCAGAGTGGGTCGTAGAAGTTTTATATGGTTTTACAAAGATGTTAATTTTTAATTTTTTTTTTCTGTGGACGACTTTTTTACGAGAAATCTTGCTCCGATTTTTAAGTATAGCATCTTTTCTAAAAGGAAATCGAACTGGTGAACTCGGAAGTGTTTTCAGCAAATGTGAAAAACCGAAAAAAAAAAACGGAAGAAAAACGAGAAAATGTACGAAATTTATAAGTCAAATATTACGGTCTGTTTTTTTCTGTAGACAATTTTTCTACTAGCAATTTTGTTCAGATTTACAATGATAGCACTTTTTCTGAAAATAAATTGACTGGAATGGTACTTTAGAGAGGTATTTTTTTGTTTTCCCAAGAGTTTTCTTAATAAATAAGAAAAACATAGGAAAAACATAGGAAAAACGGATACAATAGGCATAATGTTAACCAAATACCTATTATTTAAGAAAATATACATTGCTTAATTAATTATTTTACCATAATATGATATATATATATATTGTTGAAAAAGCAACACTATAAACTGAACTCCGCTCAGAATCGTTTTTTCGTTAGTAATGGATAATCGTTGCTTACAGATATACATTAAATTTCCGTTCCACTACTTTCCAACTTCTCACCTACACTTAACAGTGGCCCACCAACGTGCGAAATACCTATGCCCGTTTTTTTGATGCACACTATTTATAGGTATTAAGGTCAATACCTACCCCATGTACACCAATGTCGAACTTTTAGGTTCGGCTTCAAAAGTTCTAAAGATATGTTTTTTTAGTGCCGGATCCACATTATGCACTAGAAGAATATTAGAGTACCTAACTGCAACTCTTTTTGCGTTTTAACTAATTGAATTTTTGAAGTAGCAAAGTGTGTTTTAAATGAACACATTTTCGTAGGATCCTATGTTGTTCAAGTGTGTAACAAGCTCATTAAGAACAACCTGCATTAGGTTCCCATGTTAATGAAAACCGTGGGTGAACTATGGTATAGAATATATATTATAGACCATAACATAGACACTTAGCGAAATATAAATATATAATAATGTACACTATAGTTGTATAGTTTTGATTATTTCATTATGGCACCCGCCACTTGGTTTCTTCGGGTGCATAATGCATTTATTTCGTACGTACGCGGACGCGATAATGTCATATATTATCAAATTATATTATATGTTATACTTATCTACAGTTATTCGATATGGTAAAAATTATAATAATATTTCTTACAATAATTATGAGTATCGCGACCGACAACACTGCCGTTGATCAGTGTTTTTTAACCTCAACGGGCAATGCGCATGCGTCTGATATCCGAACCTGTTTTGTTTGTCGGCATTTCGATTTTCAGCAGGTGAGTCAGTTGTCAGTACTCTGCAGTTCACTTGTTTTCGTTCTCCGAGTGTTGTGCCCGCCGCTGTAAATCACCGTTAGTCTAGGATATACTTTTCAAATTAAAATATACCCATTTGCTTTTAATTAAATACGTGTTTTTTTTTTTGTTCTGTATTAACATTATAAGTTCTTCATTATTTTTATTCTCGTGCTACTCAACAATAATATATTATATAATTATTGTCTAAAATTATATTTCCGAATAATATAAACGAGACCAATAACATGTACACACTTTTCAAATTTATAATTTAGGTAAGTAGGTACCCTACTTAAGTTATAATTATTATTTTTCACAAGTCCCTTAACATTATTATTGATAACATACAAATTAATTCTCATTTATATTTGGTACCTACACATTTGATAAGTAATTGTTTTACAAAGTGAAATTGAGTAGTTCCATGTAATTAATGTGTTCATTATTGTGCAGATTATATAGATTCAATAGTTGGCCATTAAAGATTTAAAAATGTATACTAATATGTCTACTACAAATTATTATCATTCTTATGGATAGGCATTGACTTACTTAACTATTTATCCTTCTTGTAAGTCTGTATTACAATGTACCTATTAACTAAAAGTATTATTTATTATTATTATTAACACACAGTTACTTTTATGAATACAGACTGAACAGTATAGGTATCCAATCACTTGAATTTAATATTATAAATAGGTGTTACTTGTATTAGGTACCTATACACCTACATAAATAATAATAATATATGGCATTTAATAATAAATTAGATAAGTGTTAGTAATTAAATTATGTGTTATACTCTATATTTTAAGCGTATTAAATCAACTAGACTAGGTATTTTATTGAGTTAATGTAAAATCAGAGTTAGCGCTAACAAAAATTGACGGAGGGACGTAATTAAAAAATTGTCGATTTGAACAATTCTTTTTGCCCATTATATTTTGTCCCATGATGAATATCTAATCAATTAAACGATACTAATATTCTCACTACTACAGTAATTACAGTATTACAGTAATTACTACATAATAAAATTCCAAAACAAAAAAATGAAGATATTATTTTTCTCGATTACCCCCTACGTCTTATCTCTGGCTCTGAGTGAAATTAATAATACAGTAAAGTTATAAGTATGTTGGTGTACCGCTGAATGGAATTCATATTTTGAGTATAGCGATGAATATATTCGTTTTACTATCATGTATGCTTTTGTTTTGTTTTACTTTTAATATTTATCAATTATTAATAAATTTCAACTCATGATTTCAATGGTATAAAATTATTCATAATTGGTTCTTGAACTGAAACTATAATTTATAATAGGTTTAACTAATTCAATTAATATCTAATGCAGCTAATTATTTTGGCTTATTATATATTATACTGTTATTATAATATGTCTAGGTACCTACATACCTAATTAATGTTACTATAGTAATTTGTCGGCGGTATTATAGAACTCAAACAGTATACTAATGACTAAGACACATTAACAATATTTTCTTTAAAATAGATAAAAAAAAAAAGCCTCCTGGAAAAGATTTTTGTATAGTAAAAGCAATTGTATATTATCTAAATACAATAACTGTTTGTATCGATTTTACTATGGAAGAAAATTGTTTTTTCTTTTATTTCAAAATTAATTTTAAGTATTCACTACAAATCAATATAGGTACCTTCCTTATATTCAATTATACCTAATTTAAGTTTTATCCAATATAGTTCTGAACTTCTAACTACATAGAAGTATAAAATAACAATATTAAAAATTACCTAGGTATTGAAATTATATATGCACTTAAGTATTTGCATAAGCAATAGGTAATGTTAGTTTGATTTTGTTAAACGTGATTAGTAAATTAGTATCAGTTATGCGTTGATGTTGCTAGAATTTAGCCGGTTTACATATTTAGTTAATTGTTCAGGCTGTTTTTATAAATTAAATATAATTAGAAACTGAACAAAATCAAAAAGTTAATCGGCTTTCATAATAAATTTACCTACATGTTTAATTTTTTATAATATTAAAATACTAGAAAGCCTGTAGATAGTTGCCTGTGACTAGAAACATTTTTTTTTCTGCATTAATAAATAAAATGCATTGTTTTCCCTCTTAATCCATCTATCTATTAATATACATCTGAATCTGCATATGAATATACGTTTCATCAAATTAAAAATGGCTTTGAAGTGTTGTCAGACCTCCATCTATTATATGCAGATGTATATGTATTTCTATGTTCAAAGTTATATATAACTGCCTGTTTTTTAAATTTGTATATCTAATAACTATCTGAAATTAAATTATTATACTTTTAAAAATGTTTTAATGAGAAAAAGATTTTAGTTTTTCAAGACTGTGTGTCTTTTTGAGAATGTAACTACATGAGTACTTACTGGGTATTTATTTAATAAATTATTTACGGACATGTAACACCTACTTTTTAACTTTGTTGATAGTGGTTCTTCACATTTCCTTTCATATGTATATACGTTTTTACCTAGTCGCGTAAAATGAACATTTGTTTCTACAACACAGTACATTTGTTTGTGTACACGTGTAATTATTCACGTATTTTAGTGTAAACGAGTAAACTTTTGATGGGAGGTTTTATCATGAGAATAGCAAATACGTGGGGGGGAGGGGTGCTGATCATTTTTTTACACAGAAGATGTTTAACCAGAGTTTTTCTGAAGTTTATAATGTTGATGCCGAGGTTTTATTTTAAGTGTTAGTTCCAGTATGATTTTACAAATGTGTATTTTTAACGTACTCAATCACGCTAGTCTATTATTAACGAGATTAAGTGTATTAATCTGATGACAATACAAAATTTAAAAAACCCGTATCGATAATATTTCGTATCGTCTCGACCGATGCACTACGATCAACAGTGCATATCAGGGGCAGCTACATGCAAGCTACAGCTGTATTGCAATTTAAATGTGCAAGAAACAGAACTGAAAACTTCAGTATGTGTAGTTAGTTTAAAAACAAATAAATTTTTACTCTCTGGTGCATGCTAGTAAAGTTTTTTTCCATGCACGATAAGATAAGTTAACAAAATAAAGATAAAATTTTAAAAACAGATCGGTTAATAACAATTTAAGACTTTTACAGTGGCTTTCATAGACCATACAAATAATTTTTGAACTCTTTTAAAATTTCAGGAGGTGCTTCAGACTCCTCAACCTCTCTTCCCCCATCTATGTCACTGACGGTTAGTAAATTTTCGTTTACGTCCATACGGATTCTCTAAATACGCAGGTGTCTACGTAACAAACCAACAATCAAAGTTAATTAGATAGGTACCTGGATAATGGAACTCACGTTGTACTTAGGTAATTTCTACACACAGAAACAATTTTTTTATCTTCTCTTCCTTTTTGTTAAAAAAAAAAATTCTTACGTGAACGTAATCCACTAGGTAAAAATTGTTTTTTTTCTCAGAGTTTTTTTATTGCGATAATTGTAATACTCGGGAAGTCTGTTCTACGTCGAGGCCGAGTGCAGTGAGACAAAAAAACAATCCTAAAACAATGTTTGCTTCGTGTTTCATACTTTCAGAACATGAAAAAAAAAATCTTAATAAAATGTAATATATGTACCTACTTGGCCAGTATAAGGATTATGTATGGATACATAGGTATAGTTTAACATAAACATCAAATTAATAGGTACTTTAGGAAATATAATATCAAATAACGCATCATCTAAAAAACGTTGCGTGATTAACACAGTATCAGGCTGATTTTAAAAAGCCCCGTCAGTAATCCGTATAAAGTTCCCACCCCAAAAAGTCAGGTTGTAGTCGTGGTTGTATAGTGACCATAACAATTGTTCTCAATACAACTTTATCCGAGAACCTTACTAGTTTACGTTTAGAGTTTCAAAATGAAAACATAATATTTTTAATTACTATAATTATTATAATTCTATACTTGTTTTGAAACAATGTTCTAGATAATTCCGTTGAACTTTCGAATAATATCACGAATATTGCGCACAACCATAATATTATGAAGTCCACATTCGCAGGCTTTCGTTTCGGGCCACTGTCGACCCCCCAGGGGCAGATTTTCAATATTTTTCTGGGAGGGGTCTTAAAAAATATTACGTATTCCAAAGGTAATATTATTACTTGATTAGATTTCTACCTCTTTTTTTATTTAGACGACATTTATTGAAACTATGTCGATGCCCCTTCTTAAAAAAGCCACTGCCGTCTTCGGATTATCAATGCGATCCGAATTATTCGTCTTGTTTATAAAATGCCGTTTTGCAAATACGCTTTAACGATATTATAAAATAATGTACGAACGTACTTACCGATTTTTATCGAAACTGTATGGGTACCCTGCACGTTATTATTATGCGTGCCTGGCCCAATCAATTGTAATTGCACTCGTCCGCAGGGCCGACACTAGAAATTATCGATGGGGGGGGGAGGAGTAACCATACGAATTTGTATACTTATCATTACTTACAAGACTAAAATGATTTTATTTATTTTCCTGTAAATATAAAATTTCCGTCTACTCAGTAATTTTTTTTATAATTATTACTATCTGTTGACTAGAAATTGATTTTTCTCACTAATGGAGAGGGGGAGGGCGTCCCCACCACCCCTAGCGTCCGGCCCTGCTCGTCTGTGTCCAGTAATCTGTGCAAATAACGTATACGAAGCCGGTAATTCGAAATCGTACGCCAGATTAATATAAAAAAAAAAAAAAAACGTAACTCGCTCGCGTAAATAATGACTTACGGACAATCGAAAACTTTTCGATATTATTATCCGTGTACCGTTAACGGTTATTATTATTATTATTATTATTATCGCATAGGTATTATAGGTGTATTATATACACTGATGTTGTATTATCGAAGTTTGAAAAACACGCCGTTTAATAGTGTTGTTATAGTTACAAAACTGATTTTACGATCATGTTAATGATGCGCCTAAAGGCATTAAAGTATTTCTATGCTATATAATCAGTTTTGGTTTTTTTTTTTTTTTTTTTTTTTTTTTTTTTTTTTTTTTTTAATTACAAAGTGATTCATACTATCGAAAAATGTTTTTCCATCCTTATATGTTGTGTGGGAACGGCTATTGTGTTATATTATTAAAATATTGGGTCCATTGTTGTGTGCCTAGCAGCCACAATAAGCATTAAAACATCGGACAGCTGTGGTTAATCATGATTCACAGACCTGTCTCGTATATCTCCCATCATATCTTTGCTTGTTCATCCTGCAGTACCTACCTACCTACCTACCTACCTATATACACGCGTGAATGTATGTTAGGAAACGTGAAAGAAAGAAAATAAAAAAAAAATGAAAAATGTCACTTTTCACAGTACCTACCAACCTATCTAGTTGTGATAATGACGTATTTCTATGTTGTGTTTTTCTCGGTCGGACGAAAAAGTGAATTTGTAAAATTAACAACAATACGACAATGTAATTTTTTTATTTTCTTTTAAATTCCGTTTTACCTAATTTGCACTATAATATTATAGTATTAAGTGGGCGCAGTGGTATTACCGAAAAAAAGAAAAACGTTACGCACGACCGTAAAAATATAATAACGGCGTAAAAAACAAACCGGAAGTAATGGACATTTTTTTCTTTTTGGAGTGAGGGGAGGGGGGGGGGGGGGGGTTTCTCTGTTTGTTTTCGGCATTACGGTATTTCGGTATTGTATAATATCGGATTTACATTATACGACCGTACTACAGGTAAAATGGGTACCTGCGGTGTAAAATTATGTACGTTCCGTGTGTTATTTAAATTTTAAATCGCTTGTGCGTAGTAGGTATATTGCGCCTGTATAATATTATAGTTGTAAATAGTCGTGTCTCGAGCGCGCGCGCGCGCGCGCGCGTGTGTGTGTGTGTGTGTGTGTGTGTGTATAATAATATAATGTTATGGTAAAAACTTTCGGTCGGTCGTATTCGTTGTGTGTGTGTGTGTACGCACACCCGACGACGCCGTTTTTTAATACAAACGTGTGGGCGAACGGGGATTTATGTTGGCGCGCGGCTCGGCCGGCGCAATAACATTATCGTGGCGGACGCACAATAACGCGGGTTATACGACCCGCCCGTGTTTTTATATTATTATTATTATTATTATTGTGGGTATTATTGTTATCGTACGGTCGGGCGGACGCCGCCGTGTTTCTGTCGTGGCGCTGCTCTTTGCGCGGGCCCGTCGGCCGCGGCGTTTTCATCGCCGCTGTCGTCGAAAACCGGGAAGCGTAGTAGACCGGCAATAGGCCGCGTACAACTGCCGCGCGCCACGGTACGAACGATAAATCCGCGTACGGACGGGGATGATGTTTATTACTATCGGTTATTATCGTATCGCGTTTTGTCAAAATGACGGCGGGCGCGGTGAGCGGTCCGAACGCGAACCCGCCGCCGCCGCCGGTAGCGCCCGGTCTCCCAAAAACCCGGAAGTGTGACGGCGAAGGAAACGACGAGGGCCGGAGCATTGCCGTCGCCGCCGGTGACGCGGGTGTGTCGGGTGTGGGCAGGTACCGGCAATTTCGACAGCGCACTACTCCGCCGTTTAATCCGACGGGTACCACCGACGTTTCGACAAGAACGTTCCGCCCGGCGGTGCCGCGGGCGGCGGCCGGTGCGAACAACCGTCCCGAAAATCGCCGTATACACCCGGTGTGCCTATTCAATAATATTACATCCGTCCGTTTTCACCATAACCATCCCGGAGAACGGCTCGCAATTCATTCGATACGAATGTCAATCGAAAACACGTCCTAGGATGACGGGGACGGGTGTGCACAGTCGCGTCCACGACTGCGGGAGGGGGGGGGGTTTATACCGAGTGGGCTCTTGCCCGTAGCACCGTGTAACGGAAACCGTAGGCGCTGGTCACACTGTTTATACACGCACGCCACGCCACTGATTCCGTTTAACCCGACAGGAAACGATAACGCGTTCGGAAAAATCAAGAAAACCGCCCGGGGTCGAGTGAATTTCGCAATTCGGCATTCCATATTTCCTACGGTAATTGTCGCGTTCGTCAACATCAATACGTTTACCGGGCGGTATCGACCGTTACGGGCGTATAGACGGCGAAAACGAAATTTACCAAAAAAAATTGTAAAAATTGTATCCCGTACAGTCGGTACCGCTCTTAAGACCGTGGTGAAGTATTAACCCGTAGTGCTGTGTCGGCTGTAAAGTATGCATGGTTGTTATTGGTTACATTTTCGATTGATTTCGATAACCGTAAACAAAATAACAGAGATAAGTGTGTGAGAACATTTTTCAAGTGGCCGTAGATGATGACTACACCCTACATAATATAGAAGAATGTGTAACACCCGACGCTATACAGTATACCGGGTGTCCTACGAACATATACCAATTGTAATATTTTCGGAGATAATCAAATTCTATTTTGTTTTTTTTTTCTATTTTATTATTTATATATATTATTCACAGGGATATCAAGTATTTATATTTCAATTAAAAAAAAAAATAATAATAATTTATTAATTGTTTTTGAAAAATTCATTGTTCATCATTCATTACAAAAACCGTTTGGAAAATCAAAATATGACCTCTTTGAAGTACCACCTCAGATATAAAAAAGTTGTTCGCATATTAAAAAAAAAAATAAACATCATTGTAATCTAAAAGTGAATACGTTTTCTTTTCGTGTTTTTTTTTTTTTTTTTTTTTTTCCGCCCGTTTTTCCACTCTCCCTCGTCTCGCGCGCGCTCTCGGTAGCAAAATATTATGACTCGTCGAATCGTATTTATAGCGCATATTATTTCGGTCATTTTCGGCGCTATAAAATCCGAGCCCCGGTTATTATCGTCGTCGTTACACTCGTTTCTCGCGAGGCGCACAAGCCCCCGGGTCTCCGTATATTTGTACGTATACGCCCACCGCCTTTAATATCGCGCGCGCCGTATAAAATCTCCACTCGGTGCAAAATGTTACACTCGTTATATTATTATTATTATCATCGGCTAATCGCTTTTTTTTCTTCTTTTTTTTTTTTTCCGCCCGTTTTTCCACTCTCCCTCGTCTCGCGCGCGCTCTCGTTGTCCGCGCGGCGTCGGTCGCCGTCGCGCACAACCGAATTTTTCCCTCCGCGACGACACATCGCGTCGCTCTTTTATTTTCCACACATTGTTGTTTGAGTTCCAAAGAAAACGAGAGACCCATTCAATTCGAGATTATCAAAAGATTCGTTGGGAGAAAAATAAACCAACATAAACGATAAGTTATAGATGTTTTTACAACGCGTATCGCCGCGGCCGCGTATAATAATGATAATAATAATAATAGTAATAATAATAACAACAACAACAACAACAATAATAATAATAATATGCTGTTAGACGCGACGTCCTATTAACGGCCGTCTTGTTCAGGTACGCGCAATTGTTGTTATTTATAAAATCGTATAACTAGATGCGCGCGCTCGTATGTATATACGGCAGAACGTAATTCCGTCTTTGTTGAAAAGCGGCTCGTCATGTATTTATTTTTTTTTTCTCCTTTCGAATCTCCCGTAAACACGGCGGATAAATGAAAACCCGACATAATTAAAAAAAAAAAAAAAACCAAAAGATTCTCGGGTCCGACTGACGGCGCGGCGGCGGCCCGCGTTCCACGGCCCGTTACGATTAAATATTTGTAAACTAAAAACTCGTTTTGTTTGTTCCATCAATGAATGTCCGCGGAGGAGGGGCGAAAAAAAAAAAAAAAGAACGAAAAGAAAAATAATAAGAATAATTCTTACGTCAAGAAACATCAAATATACATAGATAAACCGGCGATGAGTGATATCAATCGTGTACACACGTAATACGCAGAGGGTCGGGAATTCGGGACGTGATATACAAAAAAAAAAAAATTATATATATAATAAAAAAATATACCCTATAGCTAGTAGGTGGGTACTTAGCGCTCTAACCGAAACGTTAAAGAACACCTTAACGTGTGTAATAATCTATAAAACATCCAAAATAAATCACCTTCTACCTGTAATTGTAGCCCATCAGACTTGATTGATCGTCGCTCCTATATGCTTAGGATCGGATTTCCACTGCTTCTATTTTTTTTTATTTTTTTTTTTCTACCGTATCCAAAGCGTATAATTTGCCGGCCGGGTTAACGTGTATACGAGAAAAAGAAACCGGGGGAGACCGGGTGGGGGGGTGGTGGTGGTGGTGGTGGTGTTGGTTGGGAGAGAAGAAGAAGAAAAAGAATCTACACGTCTGTGCTTGTACAGCAACTCCACGATTATATATAACCGGTTCGGGTATATTTTATACCGCAGGTATCGAATTTGTATATAACAAGCACCAGAAAATTCGCATTGATATCGGCGTACCTCGGGGCGTATAGAAAAACATTTTTCGTAAACTGTCGCCCGAAAGAAGGACTGGTTTCCTTTTTAAGTGTACCGATGATTGTATGTTTTTTCAAAACAATTAAAGCGGAATTCTTTTGTGCTTTACTCGTCATTATACTTCTTCGTCGCGACTGCAGCGCACAATTATATTATATACCTAGGGCTCTTCCAATACTTTGGTAATTAGTATTGGTCGGACTTCTTCTCAATGATCATCAATTAATTTATTTGTGTTGTTGTGTAGACGTGGTTTTTTTTTTTTTTTTTTTTGTACATTGAATGCGTTGCAATAATAATTCATCACCATCGTAAATTAATAATCTTATATTGTCATTTTTTTTTATTTATTTTTTTTTTTTACTCGAATTTCTTTCGATACTTCTTTGTACTCTTTCTTTATGTGAACGCACAAATAATATCTTATGGGAGGACGGGGGGGGGGATAAACAAAAACTAAAACAAAACTAGAATACATTCTTGATATTCTAGAAGTATAGAAATTGTTATTTCGCTTTTTATCTTTTGTAATATTATTGATGTACCGATTACAGTGATTTTTGAACAAAATTATCAATATTATTTTAATTGCCTATAATTTTCGACGTTTGTTAGTTTTTTTTTTTTTTTTAAACCGCGATCGTATAATATTTAAAAATATTAAAATGCATATGCCTACTGTTATGGTGATGGGCGCAACCGAATAGTTACTTCATCGAATCGTTTGATATTCGATCGCGTTCGCACTATTCGGCGGATTAAATATCCGAATAAAAAACGTATTCGAACGGAACCCGTATAAACGAATCGGCCTGCGAACTAGCGAATTAATATAAACTATTCGGAAGTGCTCATTACTGTAATAATCCCAAAGAATCGGTACTCGTTTACGTTTGTGACTGCATTCGAGGTCCGTCCCGGATATGAAAATGTAATCTAAAGGTATTATGCCGATTCCGTCCCGGGTTATATTAAACGATACGTTAAATTGTTTATAAAACAAAATGTATTTTGTAAGTTTGATCTTATCTAATCGATCGGTTAAACTTAAAACCTAGGTTTATATAGTCGCAGCTAATTGGTTCGACTAAGGTAATAATATCAATAAACATATAGGTATTATATTTAGAAATGAAGATAAAAATCGATTTCATGAACTCTTCGGTCGTTATTCGTTAGTAGTGTTGCCGGTAAAATAATAATTTCCGTTAGCAATTAATAGTACAAGAACACAGTGAACGGGGCGACGTATTTTGAATATTGTTAAAAATTATTATAAATTCTGTTGTCACAAAGAATATCACAAAGCGTTGTATACGAGTAGAGGAATCGGTAATAGCGCTTGGACGTTAAAGTTTCAACGCTTTGACCGCCGAATGGGGGAGAGGGGAACGACGAAAATTACGAAAACCTACCGATACCGCGGTAATGTTGTTGCGTTATTGTAACCGTGGTAATCCATCTTTTTGTTAAGGACGGAACTCGGACGTTCGTCCCTACCCCCCTGCCCCCCTCACCATGCTCGAATTGAACCGGCGACTGGTACGCCGCGAAAATCTCGGCGGGCCACGCAAAATCTTATCACTTTTTAATTGAATTTAATTGTAAATTTTTGATCTATTTTTTTTTCTTTTCTCATAGTTTTGGGCCCGCGAAAATCCTAAAAACTCGGCGGGCCGGTACATTCCCTATCCCGCGCTGCGACCACGCTCTCCCCCCCCCCCTCTCCATCATAATGGGCAGCTCTCGTTTTCTATCCGTCCGGCGGGAAAAACGCTAGCGGTTTGTAAACGGTTTTACGGGAATAATATTATTGTAAAATTTATAATAAACGCATACAGACTATAAACGTAATAGTATTGTATGTTAGCCGGCGTCCGCCGCGACACACGGTAGTCGTAGCAGGTAGTGAGTGCATAGCTGCGGCGAGGTAGCGGCGGCAGCGGCGGCGGCGACGGGTCCGGGTTGTGGAAGATTCAGCATTCCAGGTCGGTTGTTTGTGTCTCGCGGACGGCGGTTTTTTGTTCCGCGCGCCGGTTCAGGTGCGTTCGTCCAAAGACAAAACGCGCAGCCGGGCAATAACGTAATATACGAGCCGCGGCGGCGGCATTCTCTCGTCCCGTAGGTTCGTGCGCGGAGAGATTAATATACCGATTTTTTTTTAACTAATACTCCCGGCCGGCCGTTTTTTCATTTCGTTACGATTCGCCCGTCGTTCGGTCGAATACCCGGGTGCGGGGGGGGGAGAGGAGGGGAAACGGCGTTTTCGGAAATACTTTTTTTGTTTCTCTTTTCTCTCGAGAGATTTATTATAATTATTTGTACGTGAAAAAAAAAAACCTTTCGATGATAGTGCCTAACCTGTATTATAAATATTTCCACTACCCGTGCGCTCTATAAGCCTAACCGCGCCTAAACGGTAATCGACAGGTATCACGCGCGTTTATAATATAGGTATAGGTAGGTAGGTAGGTAGGTAGGTAGGTGGATACTGGACACCGGACAGATGGGGGGTTAGGTGGGTAGAGTGTAACGTCGTCGGAAAGCTGTAGGTAATGTTATCACCGACGTTGGCCGCACAACACAACATAATATCTCGTTTTCTCGTAGGTAACGCGCCTTAAAACTGCATTGAATCGTACAGTATTAATAATGTATATAATATGCGTACGGTGTGCGCGAGAGTCCGCGTTTGGCGCGCATAGATGTCTATCTGTCTATCTGCGGTATTATAATATTACACCCGTGCGCCCGGTAAATGAAAAATAATCGTAAAACGATTCTCATCGGTTTACGAGTGACGGGGCCAGAGGAGACAGATAGATAGATAGAGAGAGAAAATGCACATATACATATTCGTACACAACTGTTATTTACGATTGACCAGTATATAAATATAATAGTGTACGATGCGCGTACGATGTGCACGTGTGCGCGCGGCGTACGGTTTTGATTATTTAAAATAGACGTAGGTGAAATACGCGCGGGATTAGTACGGATCGTATCCGAAATGCAATTTATTTTTTTAATGATTTATTTTTTCCTTTTCCGTGTACACGCACGCACGCGCGTATACAACAGTATAATACACGGGAATACGCGCGCGCGTTTACGTACGTCTCATACGGACGTACGATATTATAATCGTCGTTTCGTCCAGACGGGCGCGATAACGCGCGAACCGACGCACGTCTTCGAAACGTCCGCGCGTCCTTCGCCCGTCGCCCGGCCCGCGTTTTCCCGTACAACCGGACCAGACGCATAAATATCGTCTCCGGAATATTATTTTTATTATTATTATTATTATTATTACGGTCGATTCCGAACCGCGTGCGGACGGACAGCCGATATTGCGGCGGTTGGGTGGTGGGTACTACGCGTGCACGGTTTGTTTTTTTCTTTCTTTTTTCTTTTTTTTTTTTTTTTTTTTATCAGTTATAAACGAAAACCCGTGTTTGCGTGGTGTTTATGATGTTGTGTAGGATACGCGCCGTCCGGACGGCGCGTGTTTACAATGCTATTACGGATATTTTAACACCGCGCGCCCCGCACGACGCGACAAAATACCATAATAATAATAATAATAATAATAATAATATCTCGTCGTGTATACGCGCGGCCGTAGTATACAAACACGAACGTGTTGACATTGCGCGTCGAACATTATCGTTTCGTGGGTCCGTACGACAAACACGCGCGTGTTGTGCGACAGCGACAATTGTTGTCCGCGTTGTTGCGCATCGCGGTCGAAACCTTTGCGTGGTACCGATTGCGCCCAATCGTTAATCGCGGTACGGAACACACGCGTACACGAGCGTAGTCGCCGTTTATCGACTCGTCAATAATAACGCGTTGCGGCCGTTCGGTTTTTAACCCGGCGACGACGACGACGACGACGACGAGTAATAACGCCGCGCGGTTGATATCATTACACGACGGCGGCGAACGTTCGGACTATCGGACAATTAAAAAAAAAAAAAAAACCGATTATTATTACGATTTTTTTACGATCGTAAATTCGAAGAAAACGCATGTTACGCTCTCTGTAATATTTTTTTTAAAATCAAACGACGTCGTCGTCGTCGTGTAATACGCTTAATCGTCAATATTTTAATGTGGATGCACAATAACGATTATTAAAACACGAGAATGGCCGCATTGTGCCGACGAAACCGAAGACGCGGTACGCCGCGCGCCGTGCCGTACCGTTCGTGTTACACGGTCACATCAATTATTTATCGAGACCGCCGGCACTATAAGCGCAATCGTTCCGATAAGTCTAATACAGTATACGTCAATTGTCCGGGAACGTATTGTGCACAGTCAAATGGTCTGAACGCGCACGCGTGCGCTGTGAAAATTGTGTTTGTGCGTCAATTTACGCGGTCGGTCAAAACGATATCCGGTGACTGTGTATAAATTCCAGTGGATTCGGACCTATAACCGAACGCCCCCACCCCCCCCCGGGGCAGTATATGGTTCGCGCGGATTTCGATATCGTTAACGGGTTACCGTTATCGGATTTCTCGACCGCGGTGGGATACGTTCCGACGTAGAATTGGTTCGCTTATTATTTTACCGCAGAAAAATTGTGTCAACAATACAATTTCGAGTTTAGGTTTGTTTTACGATAAAGAAAACGAAAATTCCGTTGGATTGACGAGTGAAATCCGACGAATGACGGTACGTTTTCAAAAGCAATGCTCGTACGGTTTTTGTCTTGACTTTTTTTCTCCGTCCAAAAAGACGGAAATTTGTGAGATTCTAAGCAGTAGATAACTGTTGAAAAATCTTATCGTTAAAATGTTCACATTTTACAACAACTTGGAGATAATTCGGAAAACCGCCACCGATCCCTTCGAATCAAAATTTGTATTATCGGAAAAATGCTTTTAAAAAAAATGAATTCTGAAACTCTATAATGACAAGTAGGTGTTTGTCAAAAAAAAAAATAAAAAATAAACATCCAAAACAGTTTCAACAGTACCCGCATGCCCGTGAAAACATTTGAAATTAATTTTAACATCAGACATTCCGGTATTTTTAATTTAAATGCATATGTATAGGTAATAAATTATTTCCAAACTATTTCGTATTAATGTTTTATTTATACGTTATGTCCCTTGTTTAATCGTTATACCCGTCCGTGTATATTAATAATTTTACCGTTAAAAATTTGATGGAATTCATGCGATTTACACGCTTTTTTTTTTCGGACAACTTCCTTTTCTCGTTTTACAATCGTTTGAATTGGCACCGTGAATTACGATAATTATTATAATGACTAACGGCGTCTTGTGTTGTTATAATATTATATAGTGTTTGTGTGGCTGATTTGAAAAATGTTCCCACGGGGTTATATTTCTCACGTCGGTTCGGTCAGCACATCTCCGAGCTACTTAATAAATTTTCGTGCTGCTAATCAAATATTTTTTATTATAATATTATTTATACGGAATCGTCGAGTAAGAAAAAAAAAAAAAAATGTAAAATAATGATATTTTATTACGTTTGTAAAATAATCCGTACGGAGTCTGCGCAGAAATTATACATTAATTTTATTATATTTTTACTGGTTTTTTTTTTTTCCCCGTTAAGCAAACTATCAGTAAATTCCGAAAATAATCTCTCGAAAATCAAAATCGTATTCGCAATCATTTATAATCTGTATAAAGTAAGCGGACACCGCTTTTAGTAAATCTGTATATATAATTCAGATGCGGGTCTAGGAATCTAACACGGGAAGAGGGTGGGGGTTACGCTGTTTTTTTACGGCAAGACAACAAAACGTAGTTAATTGTTACGTATACATATTATTAGGTAAATATTATTATAGTTAGTATATTTTGCTAATGTCTTTAGCAGAACCTTAACAAAGTTTTCTTTAGTTTCCAATGTTCAACTGTCGTTACTTTCGTATTGAAAATCACACTGCAGACGTGTATGCTTTTACGAATCAAACCTTTGCACGGCTCTTTTGCCCCTACCCCGTCGGATCCGCCCGCGATTTAATTTAACAACCGTTTCAGATTAACCTACGATTACCATTTATTACCGTTTATTACAGATTCGGGTTTTTTTTTTTTTTTTTTATAAAGTAACATATCATTATTGACAATACAATGTTTTACTATCCCAATAGATCGAGATTACCCGTATACGTACCTATTCGCCATAATCAATTATAAAATTATATTTATACAACTTGTTGTATAGTTAACTACATTTTTATTTATTAATCATTATTGATTATTATACTTGCGTGGATTTTAATTTGTGAGCAAACTGTTGTATGGATATAATTTAAGTAAATAACACGGTTATCAACGTAAATAAAATAACAGTATAAGAATGAGGAATTATAAATTGATGTTTACATTTTAACCATAAATATTCGTACTATCTATTAGCGATATCATACATTCGTGTTATAGATGTACCTACCTGTATATAGACAAGTTAAATAGGACGGGTTCGAGTAAACATGAAGCATAATGTTATAATAATACTGACCGAAAAATCGTAATAATTAAACAGCGATGTAAGTTGTACGTGTTTATTCTTCGGTATTTGAAAACATATTTATACGCGTTCTTTGTTATACTTCAGGTTCTAGTTGAAAGAATAGACGACTCTGGGTGGCGTTTACCCCTATGCGTATATAATATATTATAGTGTGTTGGTTATAATATAGGCATACGATTGTTCTTTTGGATCGCAGTGATAAAACAAAACCGTTCGTCGGAAATTTGACACCTGCGGTACATATATAGAAGCCCTTATTTTCTGTACGGGGTGTACAATACGAGAGAATATAGGGGCGTATTCTGGTGCATTTCGGCATGATAATAATAATAGAAAATAGAATACGATATATGAAGGGGACGTTTTTTACGCCATTTTTTTTTTCACCGCATTGTCAACGAGCGTCGTACCTACACCTGTACCGTGCGGTATCTAAAAAATACTGGCCTCCGTTCTAAATTGCGTTTTAAACTACGAGCGAAATCTAAATTAAAATCAAATTAGAAGAATGCGAGTTGAACATGCGCAATGGTTTTTCTCGACGTTTTAAAATGATGTTATTAGTGTACTAAAATGTCTATAATAACGTTTCGATTAAGTCTAAGGACGGTCGTGTAAAGAAAAAAAAAAGATTTGCAATAATTGTATAGGATAACGTTTTTCTTTTTGAAAATTCGATGATCAATTATTGGTGATTCAACTCCTATTTTAATAATGAAATGCGGAACAAGGGTTTTTATATTGTCTGTTACTAATATATCATATTATTATCTTCTTTCTCACGCAATATAAACGTTTGTAGCAGTTAAAAAATAATTATCTAGCTGAAGATCCTTGGTGTTTTTTGTTTTGTTTTTGATAGAAACAATATTAACAAAAGTCTGGTTTTAAAAATGTCATTGTAATCAAATTCAATCAAAGTGTTATTTATTTATTTTTTATGTTGATGTCATCTATTGATAATTATTTTTAGAACCAGTAGGTAGGTAGCCAATAACTATTAACGTTGCACAATATAATATGATTTTCTGAATATAAGAATTCTTTTCATTATAATAAGAGATAGAAATTAATGAATATATTCCCTTTTTGTATAAAAGACGATTTTGTCTCATTAGTTCTATTTGTATAGTGGTATGCAAAAACACGTTTTAGCGTACTGAATATTATAAAAAAATCGCTGTCCAATGTGATTTATTTAAACCGCCAAATAAAACCACTAAAGTGAAGTACGCGACATTCTTGTTTTCCGACCTTGATGACTGCAGGTGCTTGTAATATAATAATAATATATATATAAAAAAGAAAAAGAAAAGAAGCATAATATTAACAAATTTATATAGGTACCTACTACTGAATGCATTCAATTTGTTATAAATATATATAAATTGTTTGTCTTTTCTATATCTAATTCAATTTAAAAAAAATTACGATTTCCCATGTGCTTATGCTAATGTCTAAATTAATACCACGCATAATGTCTTAAACAAATTAACATGAAAATGCAATATAAAACTACTATATTCACAGTGGTATGTTCTTCACTTTTCTGGGATAAATAAAAGTGTAATAAAACTGGTTATAATATTATTCAAGAAGCCTTTACAATTGTAGACACTAAAACACGAAATTTATTACCCGAAATATTTAGATAGGTAGGTAATACCTACTATGTACATATATATATATATATATTTAATCTATGTTATTATTACTTTTAAAAATGTAGTTTTTAATGATGGGATAATTTAAAAATAACGATTCTATAGTTCGACGAACATGATGTTGAGGTATGTAATAATAAAACGAGACGGAAAAAAAAGCCAGTACCATTGATGTGATGATGGTTTGTACATCGTCGATACAGACGCTTCAGACCCCTCGTACTGGATACTTACTGTCTATGGGTAAGCCACGCTGTTGTAGCGAGGAAGGTAGGATTTGCAGGGTAATTAAATTTATGTCTAAATGCAACGATAAATCGTCGCTAACAAAAATCGATTCTGAGCGAAGTTTGGTTAGATATTTTTTGTGATGCCGTGCATTTTACGATTTTAATGTTGATGATCGGAGCAGGATTTCTGGTAGACAAATTGCTTATAGATACAACCAAAACAGTACATCCTTAATAATACAACACTTCATAATAAATAAATATCAAATAGCTCGAAATTAATGACGTTTGTTTTGTTTGTTTTAGGAACAATAATGAAATAAAATAATCCAAATTCAAAATGAACTATTGGGGTGTTGTTGTGATCCCGATTTTAATCATTTTAGAATTTTCAAGGAATACTTGGGGTAAGATTATACCCTACATATCTTAGCTCTCAACTGATATTTAATACATATAATGTTTATAATGCATGTTTTTTTGTGTTATTTAAAGTTCTAATTATGGTTTATATAAAATATGATGTATAATTAAACTGTTATAATTATTGTTCTAGCAATTGGAATATATTTTACACGTTCACCTGAATCATTGGTAGCACCGCTACATGATGAGGTAGTGTTTGATTGCACTTTGAATATTGATGTAGACAACATATCATGGCGTCACAATTCTGAGGATTTGTCACACACAGTTCATATAAACACTAATAGTAGACTCGTTGTAAAAGTAGCGAGTATAGCCGAAACTGGTGATTATCAATGTATAGCTGTTATTGGGGCATCCTCTTTGGCATCAACTGCTGCCACATTGAGCTTGGCCACTCTAAAAGAATTTGATAATCGGCTACTACCAAATGAAGAAACATTTGTAATCCCTCCGGGGAATACAATTGCTCTTAATTGCGGAAAGCCCATGCAAAGTGATCCCCCTGCATTAATTCAGTATTATAAAAATAATCAAGCATTACCGAGAACTACCCCAGTGTCTTCAACTGGATCAGTGTTACTGAAAAATGTCCAATCTGAAAACATCGGGCATTATACATGTTCGGCAACCAATAATATTGTGTATCAAGTAGTAAAGTCACCCATGTCTATATACTTAGATGTTCGGTCAAGTAATGTTGCACTATCTCCAAGGTTTATAAGTAAACCTTCATCTGTATATATTGCACAAAAAAGTAAATATACAATTAAATATTAATTTAAAAAATACTAAATACAATGTATTCCGTTTAATGTGAGGAGCCGCTTAATGGACATAATGGTTAGGTCCCGATTCTAATGTATAATGATGCTTATTTGGGTTAAAACGGGCAACCGTTTAATGTAGGCAAATGTAACTGGTCCCAGCATGCTCACATTAACCAAATTTTACTGTATATATATTTTTTAAAATTGAGTTTTATTTTATTAAATGTATTAAATTAGTATGTCAGTATTTTGAAAACTGTATTATAATACAAATTTGTTTCTAAATTAATATATTTATTGTAGGTACAAATGTCAGTATTGAATGTGCGCCATATGGTGAACCTGTACCTATAGTTCATTGGGTTGGAATTCACAAGAATATACTAGCAAATGACAATAAAACTAATATAGAACCTGGTATGTTGACCATACGTAACCTTAGTATTGAAGATTCTGGTGTATATTGGTGTATCGCAGAAAATAGTTATGGGAAAATCAATCATTCTATTACACTTCAAGTTCAAGGTAAAAAAAGTCAATGTTAAATATTAATTTCAGAATATTTCAGACATTTTAATTTCACATATGTATTTAAATTTATCTCATATTTTTGTCTATTCATTATAGAGCTACCCTATGTGAAAAATGGTCCAAGTGAATCTGTTATGATAGATGAAGGGAGTTCAGAGACATTAAAATGTGAAGCTATGGGAACGCCAACTCCAAAACTTATTTGGTATCTTAATGGAAGACCAGTTAATGATTCAAATATAGTCACTAAAGGTTAATATTAATGACTAAACAATAATGTTAAATTTTTTGAAATTTCATAAAATATATTATAATTATTTTTCGTAGGAGGTGTTTTGACTATAAATAACACTCAAAAATACCATGCAGGATTTGTGCAATGTTTTGCGTGCAATATTTTAGGATGCTCATATTGGGCATCTATGATTCAAGTTAATCCAAAACAAATTACACAACTTACTTCTCAACAACATTATTATGAAGGTGTGTACCATAAATTGTATTCTTAAAAATATTTTATTTAATGCATACTTAAATGGATACTTGATTAGGGAATTTTATTTATTTTTTCTATTATCAATTACACTTATAGTATAGTAGATAATTAATTTATATACAATTTACATAATATTATATTTGTTTTTACTGATTGTCAAATGATGGTAATAAGATAAAGTATACAAGTTAGGTTATTATTTGTTCTATTAAGAATATAAAATAATAATAATAATATGTTTTTAAATAGATTCTACAACACGGCCTCCTCAGCGAGACAGAAAAGATAGAAATCATAAAGGAAAAGGACGAAAGAAAGATAAAAAAAAGAAAGGAAACGGTAAGTTTAAAAAGGAAAAAATTGTATTTATGTTTTAAATTATTCATTATTTTCAATATTTTATAGAAATGGTCCCTCCTTCACAACCGAATGTAACTCGCTTAACTGAAAATTCAGTAATGGTACGGTGGAATGTTCCACCGAATGATGGACTACAAATTCGATTTTTTAAATTGCAATACAAAGAAGTTGGTAGTACTAGTTGGAATACTAGCAGTGATGATATACAAATGTATATTCGATGTTATCAAGTGGACAAGTTATCGCCCGATCATGACTATGTGTATGTTTTAAATGTTCAAACGTTTTAACAAATAATTAATAACATATAACTGTAGTTTAAGATAAATCAGTTAATGAATATTTTCTATTTTCTAAGTAAATTTTTTTAATCAATTCTATTGCCAAAAAGTACAGTGATTTATCAACTATTATTTAAACTGTCATTTGTGTTTAGTGCTCGAGTAAATGTAATACAAAATTTACTACACTAACAACTTTTGAAGGGTTGTGTATAGAATATTTTAATCAAATTTTTGAAAAAATAAACATATTTAGTAATTTCAAATAAATTCAAAAGTAGTTCTGTGTTTTATCATAAGTATTTATTGCAAACTCATGAAATTTGAATAAAACTCACATATAACATTTATTTCATGCAAACATAAAATACATAAACTACAATTAAAATAAATACATGCAGTTTTCACTTTATACTGAGAGCATAATTTGTCATAAAATGATTTTTTTTTTTTTTAAACAAGACTTAATGTTATTTTATAATCCTTTTTAATATCTAAAATGATGATAGCATTCATGTTAATATAATTTTTATTGTCAATGTGATTTGTATGAACATTATTGCATTGGCTAATATTTTAATAATTATTAGTAACTATATACTCTAAGTTGTATGTATTCATTGGAGAGTTTTACATTTCTTGGTTTCAAGTATAGTATTTCAATTCCATTTAAAAATGTTACATAATATTGTTAATGATTAGATAATATTTTTTAATGGCATACGTATAATGTATGTTTCAGATTTAGGGTAGCTGCAGTGTATTCAAATGATGATAATAAATCTGGTCCAACTTCTAATCATTTTTATTTGAGTAGAGGACCTCCAAATAGATCTTTGATTCCTCCTACTTTGGTATCAGCCAAAGCCGTTAATACCACTTCAATATTATTGGAATGGGAGGTGTGTAATATTTTTATTGAAATTAATATTAATAGGTATTGCATATGTTCATAATTAAATCACATGGTTTATTTTTTAGTACTTGAATTCTGTACTTGCTCCAGTTCAAGGGTTTTATGTCTATTACCGAGCTACTAGCACTGCTGGAGATTATACCAAAGCAATTGTCGATGGACAAGATGCCCGTACATTTGTCGTCTCACATTTATTTCCAGATACTTCGTACGATTTAAAGTTACAAAGTTTTACTGTACATGAAGCCTCTAATTTTAGTGCCATACTCACCCACAAAACATTTGGTATGTAGTTTTAATAATTTAGATTTAAAATATACAATAATTGGTTTTTCAGGATCATTAGTATAAATATAAATACAATTTTAATTTTTAGGAGAACCTAAAACTAGTACAGATACTCCAAAATGGACTGATAATGCAGCGGATGGTGGGGCAAATAATAATAATGCATACTCAACAATTGGTGGTGTGAGATCGCTTTATGTATTGTTAGGCGCAGTTGCATTTGTAATTGGAGCCATTGTCTTACTAATATTTTTTACTGTATGCATGTACAGTAAACGATCAACAACAAATACAAATCCCCCAGGTAAATATATTTTATTTGTATGATTTCTTCTAAATAGTTTTTAACAGTTCATTTGATAACATATTAATAATATTTATATTAAAAGTCAGTAATTGTAAAAAGTTATTGTCATTTTTTATTGAATTTTTAGAGCTCAATAAGAGTTCTGAAGCTGTGTCAGGACTAGAACCATTATCAATGAATGGATTTGCTTTAAAGAATGGTAAAATGGTTAATGGGTGTACTTTGCCAATGGCCTCAGAAAATTCACACGGCCATAGTCATGCACCCAATGGATACGTAATACATCCAATTAACATTACTAGTAATCCTCTAGCTACTGATACTAAAGTATGTTAATTCATTTTATTAAACTTGTTCAAATTATTAAACTAAAAGATATAATTTTATTTTTAGAACGCCATAGAAATATCTTACTTGGCCAATCATAATAATAATTGTTCAGAAAGTGAAATGAATGCGTTGCCTAGGCGTGCTGCTCCCATACCAACAGATACTCCTAGGACGTGGCGTTCTAAAGATGCAAAAGATGAAAACTATGTCTAATGCAGATGAATGAAAACAATTAAGAACAATATGTGTTTTTCAAACAAAACAACAGTAGGTATTAAGCTGTCAGACTGAACACACTGTTGTGTTCTTAAAAGCAAACATTTAGCCAGAAGACGTAAATTTACAAGACTGAATGCAAAGTCCTGCCAAGAAAATGCTCATCGATAAGATACTTTTATAACTATGAAAACTCAATTTGTTTTTTTATTGTGTCCCATTATTTTATGTATATACTTTTTATTACATTGTTAATTTTATACATAAATGTATATATATATATAGTGAATTTTCATTAATTTGAACTATAATAATTTAAAAAGAGTAGTGAACAAGTTAAACTATTGTTTACTAGGTTCTTATATTTTTAATTATTGAAAATTCACTGTATGAACAAATTTTGTGTATATTTATCAGTATTGACTTATTGCTCTTATATGTTTGTTAACTATTTTTTTTTTTTTTTTATGAGTTATGCAGGGTACTAATGTGATTTATTTTAAGATTTTATATTTTGATATGTATGATACAATTGCAAAATTTAGTTATTAGTTTGTCCCAAAAACAGTGCCGTATTAACAAATTTCCTGCCCGGGGCAGATATTTAATGTCACCCATGACTTCTTTTATATACTTTTAAACAATTAAGTAAAAATAATCACAACTAACATTGTTATAATTTTTTTCACAAAACTTGAGTGTAAATTATTTTTACTAGTGTAAAGAATATTTTATACAGAATTTATAAATATTATTTCTTAGTAATACTGTCATATCATAATTTCATAAAATATAGAAAAACACAGAAAAAAACTTTCAAAATTTTGATAACTGCCCCTTTTACCCCCTTCTTAACACCGCACTGCCCAATAATAGTTGTCATGTATATGTATTAACTATACATTTTAATGAATATTTATTATTTTCATAAATTGTTTTAACAGTATTACTATACAGTGGCCTGTTGAGTTTTTTTTTTTTTACAAGGAGCAATGATCATAATTAGACATACATTTCTACACACGATCCACCTTAAAATCGTAATGTGTTAATATTATTTTGAGCTGTCTAGTCCTTAGTTTATACTATCACTTGTTCATTTGTTAGATATATTGTTTTTGTATTGAATAATTAATAATTATACAATATCAAATTGTATCTAACTGAGCGATTATTTCAACACGCCACTGTTATAAAAAGTCCTTAACTATATTATTACTGTGTTTCAGTATTAACAATGACTACTATTTTCGACTTCCTATATTTGTGTTTCTTGTATGTTAACTATATTATTTTTTTTTTAACTTTTAGCATATAGTAGTTAATACTTATAAATAATTTAACAATATGTTAAAGTCAATGTGCAATAATTAATTTTTATATAGATTTTATTGTATATTATTTTTTATATTACAATTTTTTTTTTCCTAATCTGAGTTTTACTGTTATTACTTATTATAAACCTTTCTTGATTAACCATTCGCAAACTTTCATCACGTGGTCACCGTGTATAAACAAATGACCACATACTTCATGTACTTTGGTAGCAATTATTTTTTTTTCTCCATATAAATGTTGTAAGTGTTTCTTCAATGCTACTTCTAATGCCCATATGTCACCATCCACATTTTTTATTTGAGTTATACGTCTCATTCCTCTCATAGACACTTTAAGGTATACTGGTAGCATATGATTACGTGTTCGATGAACAAAATAAGGATATTTTCCAAACTGGGCTGTAAAACAAAATATAAAAAAATGTTAGGTTAGATATATTATTAGTAGTATTATTAAAAACTTTGTCAATGTGTTCAATTTCCAATATTGCATATTAAACTAAATACTAAATAATATAAAAAAGTATAAATTATTATAGAAAACTCAACATTTTTTAAATTAATTGTATGCTACCCACTAATCAGTAGCAAAATTAGCTTATAAACCTTAGAGGGGCTTAAGCCCAACCATAATATTAAATAAATACAGTGGTGCAACAAAGAGTGTTTAAAAAAATAATTGAGAAGGCTTCAGAAGATCCAGGAAGACTAAGCTTCTCTAGTCCCTTCTTAATTGAGCCACTGCCACTAATGTTCATTCAAATTTGAATTACCTAAATCTATATAAAATTAACATACAGTAGTTCAATATGTTATATTTGTAATATTTACTTGTTTGAGGTTGCCAACCAGATGGTAGATCTTTACTGTTAGGTGGTGCTGGTATAATTTTTGATGGAATAAGTCTTTCCACAAATTTCCATTCTTCTGGAACAGATGTCACTTCAAACTTGGCATAATGTGATGGATCTAAAGCAAATGGGCTTGATCTGTATGACGAATCACGTTTACATATTGAATTCTATATGGGTAGTATCATTGATAACAACAAACATATAAGATTTAATTAAAACAGATAATATAAAATATTAAATTCTAATGTTTACAGAACACATTGAGCCATTAAGCGCACCCTAATTTATTCAAAACCCACTAATAATTAACACAATTATTATACCATAAAAAGTAGACACGATAAAATGTTGTTTAAAACAATATTATGTTTGATTGTTTTATTATTTTCATTTCATACCTACTATTTCACAGGGTTTGGTTAGTTATTTAAAAATGTAAATAAATTCCATTTAGTTATAAATGAAATTTAAATTTTTGAAAAAGTTTCACTGAGTACTTGAAATAAAAAACCACTAATTAAATTAATATATTTGATACTAGTTATAGATTTAAATTGTTATAAGAAAATATGTATTATATATTGTGTTCAAAATTATGTGTAACATGTGACTGGGACCTTATTTTCGCCACCTAATTGTATTGAAAATAAAGAAGAAATTCACAGTTCCTATATTCATTGTGATTTCAATAACTAAATATCACATGTTTACATGCTTAAATTATTAGTCGGAGCTGTCTCTAGGCGATTCATCGTTTTGTGTAAGTTCACAAGTAGATTGTGGAGTAATGGGTTCAATTATGAGGTAAAATCTAAAAAAAATGGTATGATATATAAAAAATAATTTTTGATCATTGGAAGTACATATTATATATGTATATATATATATATATATATATATATCTTTTTAGTTAGGTTTTAGAAATGTTGGCCTTAATCTAGAGCCATTTCTAAAAGTTTTCTATTAGTCTCTTTAGTATTATCTGATTACCTACCATGTTTTAAGTTTCTGTAACTTAAATATAGAGGTATCTTTAAAGTCCTCAAGATCATTTGTGAAAAGATAACTGGAATTTATAAAGATATACAGAAGAGATGAGTGATAGAAAACTTACTGAGGGGGCTTCACATTTCCATTGCTTGTCAAGGCCAAAATTTGGGACATGATTTTTAAAACTTAACAAAAAAAATATACATATATTATACAGGTCATGTAATTATTTCCAATAAAGTTTTTTTTAAATTTATCTCAGAAATGTGTCCTTTAAGTCATAAAGTCATAGTCAAAGTCAAAGTCATAGTATTATAGTATTAGTAAATTAATAAGTAAGTATTAAAAAGCATTTGAAATTTTCTATTACGGATTCACTAAATCAAAATCATATCTACTCTAATAGTTTTGAAATTATGTGAAATTAGTAACTGTTTTAATAGTTACTAATTTCACAAAATAAATGTCTAGAATTTTTCAATAAGAGTTGAATATTCTAAAATTTCACTCTTTTAATTCTCCTAAGTTGTATTTTTCAATGTCTGCCAAGTTGACACAGGTACTTAAGGCAACAACCTTAAATAATGGTTTTCCTAAAATTTATTTCAGCTTTACAATTTGGCGCTCAAAAGCTGAAATATTGTATCAGGAATTCATAAAAAATTTGATTATCCAATGACGTTAAGGTATTTAAGTACTGGAAACAGGATTTGGATGTCACTTGCAATTTAAAGTTGTTTAAATTCTTAAAATTCACTATAGAAATCAGACTAAGGAAAAACTGATATTGTAGATATGTATAAATATCTACTATGTTGAATTATATTTTTATTTTATCAAAAGTTAAATATAAGTACCTACTACACATCTTGGATAGGCCATGATTGTTGGTAGGAAGTTGACAAGACAGGAAATTAAGTTTATAACAAAAAACGAATATGAGCGGAATTCGGCTCATTAATTACGTGAGAAAACTAGGTATGTGAATACCATTTTTTCTTTAAGTAATTAAGGGAACTTAGAAATCAACAAAAAAAAATAATACCAAAATTCAAGCACGAGCACTCATATAGAAATTCTCATCAACAAGCCTAAGTTCGAATGTTAGATTTCAGCTTCTCGGTGAATACAGGTAATTTTGAACACTGGTTTCATGACCATTTATTAAAGTTTGGTGTTTGCTCATAATCTCAAAAGTGATGTATAATTTACTATATTAAACAAACTATTGAACATTTTAAATGTACTTACGTTGAGCCGTAATGAAACTCCACTTGTAATAATTGCATTTTTATAAAACATACGAAGAGCCATTATGTTAAAGTTGTTTTAAACGAAATACCTTGCTAGAATTAAAATATTGAAAAAATTAAAACTAAATATATTTTTATCAGGTTTATTCAGGCTCTGTAGGGCGTTATCAAAATTCAGAACCTCAGTATCAGTCGCAGATATAAACGTGATAAATTTACAAAAAACCAAACATTTTCCGTTGGTTATGTTCGTTGTTGAAGATAAATATTGTTTGCCGCGTTTTTTACGTTTTTGTTCAATTCACAATATTCATCTTTATCAATAAGAAAAACAAATTGTTGCTTATTGGTTTTGTTACATGCAACTTTTTACAAAGTTATACCTATTTGTGCATAGGTTAAGAAAAAATGTTTATTTATACCTTTACATTTTGAATAATTAGTTACTCGTTAATTTGTACCTGCCTATTTAATAACAATAACATTCAAAATATAGTATTAAAAGTAGGTAACAACTTATCATTTGTTTAAAGTAAATTTTGTATTTTTTAAAATACCTAGCTACCGCAATGACACGTAAATCAAAAAAAGAAGAAAAATTTGTCGAACAAGAATCTACTGTTGAACTGAATGACAAATATCGTTTTCTCATTTTACCAGGTTAGCCCTCGAATTATTGTTATATATTATTACTACCAGCTGTATTACCTATCCGTGGTTTCTCTCGTGTGAAGTTTACATACCTGTACTGTTTATTTTGGTCTGACTAACTGTCTACTGAGAATCTTTCATCGCAGAGTATTTTGAACTTCTCAGGAATCAATTGTTTGAGTCTTTGAATCGTCCTCTTAACCCCAACCTCTTTCGAGGTGTATTTTTGTACAAAATCATCTGTTGTTTAATTTCACATCCCATTTCAATCCTTGACGGGTTGAATTTACCAAACCCCCAGGAGTTTAAATTTTTTAAAATTGGGGACGGGGTGAGTTTTATAGGTTTTAAGTCTAATAGGTACTATTTTCGTACAGAATGGTTTCCCTTATGGCGGATTACAATAATGGTTAAAATTTTAGTTTTTGGGAGTAGATTTTTTCAGGCAAGGGTAATTTTTTGGGGGAGGGGAGGAGTTAAATAAGGATAGAGGTTAATAGTCCTTGTACTTCTATATCTGAAGATACAAAAACAATTCGGATTATTGTAATTTAAAACCCTTAAAAATTAGGGATAGTCTTTTATCCTATATTTTATCTATTTCTTTATGAAATTTTTAAAAATTCTGATACATCTGCTTGTTATTTTCTAACCAAAATACCAAAGAGCAATTTTTTTGAATTTCACTTAAAATGGATGATTTTTTATTCCAACTTTCATCCCATATTTGCCCCCTTAAGGACGGAATTTTCAAATACACTTCCAAAGTAGATGTCTACAGTATAAAAGATACCTACTATAAAAATTTGAAGTTTTTAACCCAATGGTTATACTATGTGTTTGTAGATCAGTGGGTCAACGGGTCAGTTTCTCTTTTTATATTATACAGATTTGATATTAATTGTTTATTATAATAATTTGTATTATGTTATTTATTATTTAGATACTTTAACAAAGGATCAAAATATTGATAAAGAATTTATAAAACTACGCCACCCACAGACGGGACAGATGGCCTTATTCCTGTATTCGGAAAATGAAAAAAAGTTAGCTCAAATGCGGTCCTTGCCATTTAGTCACAGGTAAATTTGTATACCCATATCAATATTTTATTTACATTTTTAATTTTCATTATAAAAATGTTATTTTTTTAATTTATAGATCATTTTTCAAAGAGAGTGAAGTCATTCCTATTAACAGAATTGATTTTGTCACATTAGTTGACCCTCTGTTTATTTTCTTACCATACTTAGTCAAAGTAAGAATATTATAAACATCTTTTTTTTTTGAAATCATTACCATTGATTTTAGGATATTAGTATATTTTAAAATCAATGGCATTACTATTCGTCATCGCAATTATTATATTTGTTATATTTATCATTAACTGGTGTATTTGGTAAATTATGTTTATAAGTGTTAAATTATAAGTGATAAATTATAAGTAGGTAGTGAATATTTTATAAAATCAATGGGATGATATCTATAATAAAATGTTGAAAAATGAAAGATAATTTTAAATTTATTTTTAAACATTTGTGGATTTCAATAATGTAGGTTGTATCATGACAAATATATAAATACCTAGGTATGGTTAATAATATGAAAATGTGTAATGGAGTTCATTGCATTCGTTGGTGTGTTAATTTTACTAGATACCAGAAATAATAGGTATGTCATAATATACAGTACCTTTGGTCCAATATAAAAATACTTGGTCTTATAGTGTCTCCTCGCCCAACATGTATTGGATATGTTTGAAATGTGAACCAAATTAAATAATAATAAATAAATAAATAAAAACATTACAAATTACTGATGAATATTTTGTTATTTCTGTTATTAGTGCTCATCTATGTTCAGTCCACTTGATCAAATTTTAATGGATGAAGAACTTCCAGAATTAAATAATCTACTTATGAAATTGTCAACATTGACAAATATACAACAAGTTGCCGATATGAAAGGTACTTTACAGAAATATTGCACAACTGTTTTTATAAGACATTTAAAATTGTTTCCAAAATTAATTGTTTTTAATGTCAATATTATCTCGGATATGAAAAATATTAATTATGAATATTTTAATTTTTTTTTTTTTTTTATATAGAATGTGCAGATTTAACTTTGTGGCAGTACAGTGAAAAAAAAACTCTAGATTGGCTTTCACCTAAAGTAGAAAACGTATCACAAGTCTTAATTACTCGGCAGATAAATGTTAACCCTAATGCGGCTGTTTCTACTTCTTTTAAATTAAGTGACACAAAATCAATAGCCAAAGGTAAAATATAATCTTTTTTATCTATTAGAATAGTGTTTGAAGTTGATAAATAATAATAATAAAGTAAATAAAAAAAAAAAAAAAATAATTAATTTTTTTTGGTACAGAACATTATACAAGATATGCATTTAGTTTAATTTCTGAATATTTACCCATTGATGTTCAAAAATCATTACTAAAACATCTTGGATTACCAGAAAAGGTAGAATGTAATAAACGCAAAGCTGGTGGAAGCATAACTGATGTAAATAAAAAGGTAAAACATAGTGACAATCATGATGATGAAAAACCGTATAAAGTCGAAAAAGTAAATGCGCTATTTAATAATATATTTGTAACTATTGTTAGGATTAAATTATAATTTTTGTTTTTGCTTGTTCCACTAGGTTGTTATTCCAAAGATATCTGCCAAAGACAAGGCATTAAAAAAAGCTGCTTCAGGAACTAGATCTATATCATCGTTTTTCATAAAAAAATAATTTTATATGCATTTGTGAGGTGATTTATTAATATTTTTCCATATATGACAAGTTTTGTCAATTTTAAATTTTGTATTGTATTGGGATTTATAATAATAATAATAATAATTTCCAATTTCAAAATAAACTGACTAACAATTTTTAAGTTTAATTAAATTATACAAATTGTCAGTAAAAATCAGTTGAATATTTAAATGTTTTAAATTTTATGTTTTGAGTTGATTTTAATAGTTTCTAATTCTCAAATTCAAATAATATACCAATGTATGAGATTATTACAGTTTGTTTTGTCCTTTTTTAATCTTTGCGAATAACTGTACAATTATTTCTGAAAGTGTTGTTATATGTTTATTTGGGTGGTTAATAAATAATCAGTTTTTATGATTAAACATTGGGACTTTACTTATCATTTTTTACTATAAATACTGTAGAGTGTACACACCAGAAACTATTTTCTGAACATAAATTTTAAAAATAATATCAAATATGTTAATTCTTCTTAAAAGTCTCATGATCTGCTATATATTAAAATAAACATATCGTGACCACTGCTCTAAGGTAAGCCACTATTATTGTTAGAAAGTTGAGAATATAAATAGATACTAGTTTATATACCTAATGTATGCACAGTATGAGAAAAATTAAAAACTAACTTTCCCGATGTACCTGCTAAAAAAATACGTTTGCCCAAAAACCATTCTGGAAGTTTTGATGTTTGGAGGAAGATTACTGGTTTAAAAGTTGATACAGGAAAGAAAATGCCAATTTATCATATAGTTGCTGTACTGATTTTGTAAATAGAGTAAATGTTGATACTGTTTTTTTGAATATTGTGTAAGCCAAGAAAAATATGATGGAAAAATAAATAATTTTACATTTATTATTAACACTACTGGTTCTATTTTATAATAATTAAATTCTTTGTTTAAACTGTTTATATATTTATGTTGATTAAATGTTATGTATGTTAATATGTTAAATTAAGTGCATCATTAAATCATTAGTAAATTAAGATTTATAAATACAAAAATCTATATATTACCCCACACCCCTAAAAATAAGAAAAAAAGGTTGTTGACTTTGGCGGCAGCTCAATTTGTCAATTTAAATAGTTGTCAACCCTGCATCAAAATACATTTATTCCTCGTTTCATTAAGAATTTACAGTGTTACATAAAGATCTCACCTGAAATGAATAGTTTTGCTCAATATTTTCAAGTTTTTTTTTTTCTAAGTTCTTGTGCCTTGCTTTAAGATACCTATATTTTTTAAAACTAAACTTTTATTGTAGATTTATTTGTAACAGTATTCAATACTTATATATTTAAGAAAATATTTTTCGTATAATATAATATATTTAAGATTATGTTCATTTTGCCTGTGTAAATTAAAAACAATTATCTATTTCTGTCATTGTTGACAATTAATTTTGTGTAGTATAATTTTGAGCTTAAGGCACACATTATGCTAAAAGAACACATTTTTCATAAGTAATATAAATGTATGTAATTTATGTTATTATTTTTTTTTTTTTATACATTTCACTAAATATGAACTTTAGAAAGTCAATAGGGTGAATGTAGACAACAAAAAAGCTATACAAATTATTTAAATAAGAGAGTATAATACAAATTTATTTTAATTTTAAATTAACAAAAACCATTCTACTTATAAATATAATATTTTAATTTATTAAAAAAAATATTAAAATTGCATATCAAAAGGAATACAATTTATTGTATTAAATCTTTATTTTAGTATAACACAATGGTTATTATAGTAATAAATTTCTTTTCATTTTCAATCAAGAAGTGTCTGCATGCCCTCTGGAATCATCATGATTTTCCAATAAACTATTTGGATCATGTTTAATCTTGGAAATGTGAATTTTTTTGTTTGATACGCAAATTGAATAATGATAATTTTGATATACAACTAAAAAATACAACATTTACATATAAAAGTTAAGCCATAATTAAAAAAAAAAATAAATAAATTTTATGGTAATTCAACATACTTGACATGGTTTGAAATTGTTCTTCAGGCATAAACAAACATTTAGTTGAACTAATAGTTTTTGATATTATGTCAGCAATTGTTTCATTATTTTCCAAATCCCCACCCGACTGGAAACATAAAACACAAATAATAATAATAATAACTAATAATGTTTTTTAAATCGAAAACACAAAACTATGTATCAACTTACAGACATTACAGCTCCGTCCATTGTAAGAATCAAGTAACCCATTTGTTCCGGAATCCTTTCCATTTTTTTTGTAAATGATTTAACACTCTTTCAATATTCGATTGGAAGTAATATTTCTTAAATTTAACGAAAACAAAATTAAAATATCGTTCCTGGATTTCGTTTTTAATAATTATTTATTTTTTAAGATAAAATGATAAGTACCATAAAATGAGTTGATAGTGTTATCTGTAACATTCTATGCAATATCAATTACTCCATGCCCTCTACCCTATTGTATTTTTGTTGTTCATGTATCTTAGTGTTTGCGGTTTGATACTAAAATCTAAATTCAAATTTAAAATTTGTTGGTCATGATGTTTGTAATACTATGATTTGAGTAATTACAAAATTTCATATTTAACATTGGTAATTGGCATGTCGTAACTTGTTCGTTTTTAAAGTTTTACAAATAAAGTTACACAATAAATTTATTTTACAATGGATCAAGACACGGCTATGAAATTATATCTGAATGGTGCAACAGCTTTTTTCCTGGACGTCCCATCTGGCATGGAGTTCGGAATTGATATGATGTCTTGGGCGACTGGTGATAAATTTAAAGGAATCAAAATGATACCTCCAGGTATACATTTTATGTACTACAGGTAATGTACGTTAAATGAATACAAATTAATACTTGGGAAATTTGTAATTTTAAATTATTTTCTTATGTGTACAGTGCTACTGACAAGTATGGAAATACAGCTCCAAGATGTGGTTTCTTTCACAGTTTTAAGAAAGGTGAATGTTTGATAAAAAAATGGGATAAGGACAATGAAATATTGGTAGACGACATACCCAAAGCAGAACTAATACAATACAAGACAAATGTATTGCATTATGATAATTGCTTGGGCCCATATCCATACGAAGAACAAGCTAAATGGAATGGTTTGTCATCACTGCTCACTGGTATTTAAAAACTAAGGGAAATATACGGGAATTATTTTTGGACATTAACAATTGTCTGAATTTTTTGTTCTAGAGAATTTGATAGATAAATTATCTCCTGAAACAAAACTAATCCAATCTGCAATGGAATTATTTCCAACGTCGACAAGAGAAAATACTAAGAAAAGAAGAAAATGGGGTCCAATTAGAAGTGAGACTGATGTTGGATATGAACATTTGCCAAAATTAGTACCAAAAGAAGAAAATAAAATAAGGTAATTAAATGATATATATTACATTTTAATTACATATATTTACATTATTGTATTGATTCAGGTATACTGAACCTCCCGAATATCATTATCCACCTGGGGCATCACTTTCTGAAATAACTAAATATTCACTTGATACCTCGTACATACTTCATCAAATGATTGAAAAACATGATTGGTTGGTAAATGGTCATTAATTATTGTATTATAATATTAAAACACATTGATGGATACTGCTGCTCTAGCAGTAATAAGAAAAATGTCTTATTACAATCACTCTGTTGTAGCAGTAATATTTTCAATGGTATCAAATGATAGAAGACATTAGACTGCCACATTATGGCAGTTCACACTGTCAATTTACTTAAATTTTGGATGTATGTTTAGCACTACTGCTATAACAGTAAAAATGCCATTATTTATCAAGTGCCCATCGATGTGTTAAGTACATTTTTTTTTTTTTTTTATATTAACCAGTAATTTTTATTTATTTTTTCAGTAAAATAGATTTATTAGCTGAACTCCAATTCTCTTATATTTGTTTTCTCCTTGGTTTAAGTTACGAATCCTTTGAACGTTGGAAAAAGTTATTTCAATTATTTTGTATGAGTAAAGATGCAGTTGAGGAAGATCAAAATTACTTTGCAAAATTTTTTGTAGCAATCCGTTTTCAGTTAGAAACTATACCAGAGGACTTTTTGGTTGATATTGTCGAAAACAATAATGTTATCTATAATGGATTAAAAGAATTATTTAGAACATTAGAAATTAGTGACTTTTCATTGGAGGACAATCTCAAAGATGGAACAATTCAAATAAAGAGATATTTGCTACAAAAGTTTGGTTGGGAATTCAACAAATTAGATGAAGAAGATGAAGATGAAGCTCCTGTTATTGTTGACTGTGAAGAATATTAAATATAAATTAAAATTATACATATTTAAGATCATATTTAGTAACAACATGAAACCAATTTTAAGTCATTAAAATTGTTTTATAATTATTTAATATTAAAAAAATATTAACATGAATAATGTGTCTTTGATTAATATAGAAAAACATTTTGACTGTAAGACGTCTATTTGGCATAATCGAATAAAACTAAATTGTCCAAGGAAGCCCAAAAACTGTTGATGTAAGATTTTATTTGTTCTACATTTATTTATCATAATTTTTTTATTCAACTATACCTAATATTTAATATTATGTAACTTTCATTCATAACATTTTTTTTTTTATAAGTTTTAACTTTAGTTTTTTCACTTACAACCTAATTTAAAAATAATCTAAAAAAAACAAAGGGCACTTGTGTCAAATTATGAAGTCAGATATTTTTGACACTTACGACATTAAAATAACGAAACATTTTTATCAAAATTTTGTTTTGGTTGAAATCACTAATAGTATTAATTGTTAGATATAAACATGGGGATATGTATAAACAGTAAAATGGTTTTAGGCACTGTAAGCACCCATAAATGTCAACCAATAACTAAACAAATGTTTATATCAATATTTGTTGCTTACAATCCAAATATTCACAATATTAAACATTTTTGGAGCTAATAAAAACCACTTAAATATTAATAATGTAAATTTTATTCGTGATATCGATACCAGAGTCATCTCATGTGTCATAAAGTGAATATTGAGAAAATGGTTGTTTACGCCAAATAACATTTTATCAATCAATTTTACAACAACTTATAAAACATAGTAACATTTATTGTTAGATTCTTGTCATTCTTTTGATGAAATGTTAATTAAATGTTTTATTCAGTTTGTTAGCAGATAGTGATTGAGTGGTCAAGGGCACTCAGTGAGTTATGGTCTTATAAACATTTACATTTTAGTATAATTAAATTAAAAATTTAACAGAAACTCTTGATTTCAGAAAAATTAAATATTATTTTCAAGATATATATATAATACAATATGATAATCTTTTATTAGCTTAAATGTATATAACATTTTTCATTTTAATAAAATAGTTTTAATTATTATTATTTGTATGTTTAATTACAAGTCATGTGTCTAGAATTTAAAATAATATTTTGTTATTACAGTGACAGTTAGTCTTAAATATAATACATCAAGTATTAAATAGTAATATAATCAGTAAATAGATTGGTTTAAGTATAATATATATGATTTTGTAAACATTTATAATCAAAATAGTTCACTAAAGAAAATAATTAAAAGTATGTAACAATGCAAATTTAATTTATGTGTATGAAATTGACATAGAATGTAATGATTATCTATTTAAAAATAATTAACTTAGGTAATAATTAAAGTCATCTATTGAGATACAAAAAAACAGATCAGCATTTAAATGGTTTGCAAGTTACATTAATCTATTCATAGAGACATGACTCTAGTATGAACTTTAGAGTGGCACATAAAAAGTATTCAACTTTCTAGTTCTAAGATTTGGACCATTAAAGTTCAATAAAGAAAGTAGTTCTCAGAAATTAAATTTCCCTTTGGTTAATTTATAAATAAACCAAAAATTAAATTTGTTCCTTCTTCAAGCATTTTTAGTTTTAAATATAATATCAGTAGATATGATGAGAGAGGGAGATGTTCAATATCACATCTGAATTGTATAATTCGTAAAAAAAAAAACTGTTCTGAATCAAGTCTTTGAAGCCCAACTGATTGTGTAGATCAAACTGTAGATCCATGATCAAGTAATGATTTGACAAAAGAAAAGTAGAGTGATTTTAATGCTAAAGACTAGTCTTTACAGATACCTACAATTTATGAAGCCTACCTAACATCTTGTCAAAATGTCTTTGAATTTTATTCAAAATATAAGTAGGTACCTATGCATTTTGATTTTAAAAACTTGTTTTACGTGGGAAGGCACAACCCATTTCATACTTAAATTACTAATATTTTACAAAATACTTATAAAAAAAAAACTTCATTTGTGTCATAGAGTGCTTATTTTTTGATTGTACATTTCAAGTCATCGGTTTGTTAATGTTCTTTTCAAAAATGTACTCGTTAAAATTATTGGGAAGTGCCATAAAAATAATTGGTACTCTACAACAATAACAAGGTTCCACTTTAGGTATGTGTTCTGAAATGTTGGTACTTAACCACTATAAATATAGAAGATTTAGAGTTGCCCCACGAGAAACGGGTTTCCCGCACATAAATCTTTTAGTTTATCCACGACATGGCAACATAATAAATATTTGTGAACATTATGACACTGGGCTACCCGTGTATTCCTAACATAACCCGGGAGATATCACGTCCTTATAAAGAACAATTCAATTTTGAATGATACCTATTTAATGAAATTGGGACGATATGCCCAAATGAGATTTTTCGTATTTCGTATATTCGGTGGCCCGTTCAAAGATAATAATTGTTTACAAAAATGGACACGGGCATCGCAGCAGTTAGGTACCTACCATTATATCTTAATTCGCGGTACCTACCTGTGTACTGTGTGTAAACCGAACATTATTATTTCTCACGGACCACACGAATGGTATCGCACGGTCGAGAACGGAACACCGGTGTCCTTTAATCGCATATTACTCTACGCGTTATCGGGGGTCCGTTTGATACACTCGGGAGCCCCGACGTCGGACTTTACCGTCATCGCGGTCACTCGTGTACAAGAGGTAGGTACCGGAACTATTCAACGTCCTTGCAGTTTAATTACCGATGTTCTTTTCCAACGATGGCGTCCGTTAACGCTTCGGTGTGCGGGCGTCTCCCTGTTCTCCTCTGTTCCTAAGCGCGTCGACGTTCGCGAAATCGATGTAACATTTTTATAGGTGCATTGTGTTTCTTTTTTTTTTTTCGTCAGCCGACTCGCTAAAACGCATAGCTATGAATAATACATTTGCACCGCGTTCGTTATTGTTTTTTCGTTTACGGTAAACGAGTGTCGATCGCCGAGTAAAATTATCGTATCGGCGAGTGCGAACCGCGAACGCCGTCGCGATAACCGCCAAGAGAAACGGCAATATGGCGGCGGGGCCGTGTGACCGCTGTTGTGCTGTCCAGAAATGCGGTAGTAATTCCGAAGACCGGTGAGTAGCTACTCGATAACGATAATAATCGTACGCTTAAAAATAACGGGACGGTTGGTTTTTTGCCGCGAGGTCCCGAAAAACGATATACCTGCACGGGCGCCCATAAGGGGGGGGGGCTGGGGTGGTGGTGTGGGGTAAGACGGGGTATCTGCCACCCCTGGACTTTAAAACGTCGAGTGTAATTTTATTTTAAATTCTTTTTGGTGTTGGATTTTGTTATGCCCGTATAAATGGTATAACCCCTGTGGTATTATGGATATTTACAACAGACGTTTTTCGGCATTTTATTGAAAGTACGGTCCTCCGCCCGGAGGCCCCATTTCCCCGAAAATCCGCTATTGGACGTCGCGATAAATATTTTGAACGATCGTCCGCGACACGTATAGGTATCATTTTTTCTTTTCTGCACAGCATTCTCGTGCAGATAGTAGCGACAGACGATATATTTTAGATTCTGAGCGGAGCGAGGAATGTATTGGTTCAACAATGATGTTTATTATTTATTTATATTCTTATACTGTGTACAAACATTTTTACAGAAATCTTGCCCCGAAGTATCAAGTGTAGCATATTTTCTGAAAGGAGATTTCTCTGGGGCGATACTTTAAGGAGGTAATTTTTTTGATTTTCCCAGGGGTTTTCGTAATAAATGGAAAATCTTAGGGAAAACGGGAAAATTTACGACGTATTAAAAATGTATTATTTTCAAATCGTAAATATTACGGCCTTTCAAAACATGTATAACCGAGCTTCGCCCAGAATCGGTTTTCGTTAGAAACGATTAACTATTGCATAAAATCCCGACATAAAATTCCCCTCTATATCCTACCTTTTCAACTTCTCACATCAGTGGCGGCTATCTCGAAAAATATAACAGGTGCTTACTTAAAAAGAACTAATACCCCCTACCAGTATTTCGGGTAATCCAAAAAAAATACTCATTTCATAAAAAACGTTTTTACCCACCAATATTTAAAGTTTATTTTAATGGGGTTTATAATTCTTTTAAAATTGTCCATATAAAAACTTTTTTAGATTTTTAAATGTATTTACTTCATACTAGTAGCGTATCTAGAGACGGGGGGTGATGTGGGTGATATATCAACCCCTAAAACCTTTTTTTTTTCTACGTTAAATATTAATACTATTAATGAAAAATACTCAAATCGTCCCACAAAATAAAATCTTAGTTACCCAACTGCTTCACACATATTAATATATTATAAATTATGTACTAACTTCTAAATACTAAATATGTGTGAATACATTTTATTCATCACTAGCTATCTGTCCATTTATGAACATTATTTTATTTTTTTTTTATTTATAGAATATTTACAATCTATGCTACAAGGCATAATAGGCAAATAAAATGAACATTTTAAAAACAGATTTTAGTGTTTCTACCCGTCGAAGGCCATAGACATAATAGATTCTTTTATAATATAATAGTCTATTAATCCATAATATGATAGTATTATGCATTTAAGTCTATGGTTCCATTGTATTATTATTGTGTTAAAAATCAAAGGTTTTATGAGTTGATACTGGTGTCTGGAAATCCCGGATTTAATAGTTACAACCCACTCACCACAATTATGAAAGGGGCGCTGGAGCACCTTTTCAGGTACGCGATAGCCGCTACTGAGAGATGCAACAGTGACCCACCCACTGTGCGAAGTATGTCCGTCTTTTTATCCTTGCCGTTCATAATATTAACGGGCGGAACAAAACATAGATTACCTAATGCAGACATGGCACTCGAGTGTATCAGGGATGGATCCAGGGGGGCTAGGGGCCCATGTCCCTCCAGACATATTATTTATCCAATTTTCGTGTATAATTCTACAAATCATGATATTATATTTCAGTTATAGATGTGCATGATTATATAATATGTTATACATATCTGTGATATGTGATTCCAATATTGAAATGTCGTAATTACGTGTAAATTGTTGACACCGCAAGAGTGCGTCATTACAGTTGGTCCCGGGCAGTCATAAATAGATTGTGATTGTTTAAACTATTAATTGGTAATACAATTAGAACCATAGACATTGTAATTGTATTTATGT